CTGAAATTCAGGACTGTGCTCATGACCGGCCACTGGAGCAAAGGGATATGTGTACCCAGGGCCTCTAGTTCCCAGGCTGCAGTGATGCGGGAGGGGTGGGGGACAAGTTAACCCCACGATGTGCTGCCCTTTCCCTAGGAACGACATGGGTTTTCCTGGGAGCAGGGGTCAGATCCGTGACAGATCCTCCTGGGAATCCCAAACCAGAAGCTGCGGTCTGCAGCTTTCTGGGGCCAGAAGCCCAGAGAGAAGAACAGAGAGAGACCGCCGCCGCCCCCGCCCCGCCCCCCCCCCAGCGGAGGAGCATGCAGAAGGCTAGAGGCAGGGCAGTGGAAGGCACTAGAGAGGAAAGGCCCTTGGTTAGGGCTGCAGCAGCAGAAAGTACAGTGCGAAGGGGTTTGAGACAGGTGTGTATATATGAAGAGGGAGGAAGGAATGTGCTAGAAAGAAAAAAAGCGCGCGCGCGCACACACACACACACACACACACACACACACACACACACACACACACCTTCATTCATTCTTCAGGCTGAAGAACGGAAGGGATCTAAATTCAAGCCAGACAGAATAGTGCACACCTGTAATTGTAATCCCAGTAGTAGTGGGGAGATGTAGGCAAGGAGGATTACGGGTTCAAAACCATCCTGAGCTTCACAGGCCTAAGGGTGGGGGGGGCAGGGTGGGAGAGAGTGGAAGGGGAAGAGGAAAAGGGAAGGCAAAAAGGAAATGGAAGGGGAAACAAAAGAAACAGATGTATGCTTAAATCCCGCTATTTCCTAGTGCTGCGCGACGACGCGCACATCTGTCCTGTGGGTCCTGGCAGCGTGTGGCAAAGCTTCGGAGGTTCGCGGCTGCCAGCCCCCTCTCTCTCCGACAGCACCCCCTGGTGGTCGCTTGAAGCAAGGGCCCTGCCCCGGAATTTCTCCACAGCCTTTGGTGAGTTTTTTCTGCCCGCGGTCGCTTCCCTAGCACAGGAGAAGTGGGCAAACAAATGGAGCTTAAAATTCCCTTGTCGGGGCTGGAGAGTTAGCCCAGCCGTTCAGAGCACTGGCTGCTCTTCTGGAGGACCTGGGTTCAGTTCCCGGCACCCACATGACAGCTCATAACTGTCTATAACTACTATCCCAGGGCATCCTCATACAGATATACATGCACATAAAATAAAAATAAACAAATAAATCTTTAAAATAAAATTCCGTTTTTATTTTAGACAGTGTGGGAGACTGGGGCAGGAGGATCTCTCTGGTTCAGGACCACTCTGTTAAGCAGCCAGCTTGTGTTACAGAAGACCCTCCCTGCCTTGGAGCATGATGGAGGCAGGAGGATGGACCTCCGTGAGTTCGAGGCCAGCCTAGCCTCCGAAGTGATTTCCAGGTTAGCTATAGCTAAACAGTGAGACCCTGCCCATCGCCCCCCAAAAAACACCAGAAAATGAGATATTTTCCATTTTAAGTAATTGGAAATTAAGTAATCAATCTACTTTAGATTTAAAATAGCTTTTCTCTTTTGATTTGCATCTATTTTAAGACCTTGCAAGAAAATCTAAACAGTCATGGACAACAGATAAGTTTTAGTTTAAATAATTTGCTAAACATTTGTATCATGCTAACATATATAATTATATATAAATACTTAGAATATATTTTATATAATTACATATAAAATACACTTTATATAATCATATAAATATGATTTACTTGTTTTGAGACAGGGTCTCTCTACACAGCTCAGGCTGGCCTTGAACTCACAGAGATCCACCTGCCTCTACCTCTGAGACCTGGGATTAACCGTGAGAATCATAAAGTTTAGCCCCATGCTAATACTTTTTTCCAGTGTTTTTGTTTGCTTTAAAAGTTTTTTTTGTTTTTGTTTTTGTTTTTTTTTTTTTGTTTTGTTTTGTTTTGTTTGGCTGAGCGGTGGTGGCATATACCTTTAATCCCAGTACTTGGGAAGCAGAGACAGGCGGGTCTCTGTGAGTTCAAGACCAGCCTAGTCTACAAAAGCTAGTTCCAGGACAGCCTCCAAAGCCACAGAGAAGCCCTGTCTCCGGAAAAAACAAAACAAAACAAACAAACAAACAAACAAACAAAAAAAACGGGGGTGGGGGGAGAAGAAAAGGTATTTAAAGATGTATTTATTTCGTATGTTTGAATGTTTTGCCTTCATGTATATGTAGTACACTACCTGTGTTCCAGATATAGACATCAGATACTCTAGAACTAGAGTTACAGGTGGTTATAAGCCACTATATGAGTGTTAGGAATTTAACCCAAGCCCTCTGCAAGAGCAACAAATATTCTAAACTGCCTAGCCATTTCCCAGCTACAGGGCAAAATGGCTGGGAACGTAAAGCTGCACAGCCTACAAGCCTGAGTTCCAGTCTGAGAACCTACGAAAAGGGGAGAGAAATGCACTTATGTCCACACACACACGTTATACACATGTTAAAAAGAAAAAAAAAAAAAAGATAGAGGGCTGGAGAAACGGCTCAGCAGTCAAGAGCACACACTGCTCTCGAGAACCTGAGTTCAGTTCCCACCACCCATGTTGGGAAGCTCACAACTGCCTGGAACTCCAGCTTCAGGGAATATGCTGCCCTCTTCTGGCGTCCACAGGCACATACAATCCCTCACACACGAGTAAAATAAAATGTCTAAAAATTAAAGAAAATGGCCAGGACTGGTGATACAAGTGTGTAATACAGCTACTCAGAAGGCGTGCCTGGACTACACCATGAGTCCAAGGTCAGCCTGGGCAATAGCAAGATCCCATCTCAAAAGGCAAAATAAAAAGAATCAGGGAAGCTGGAGAGACGGCTCGGAGTTAGGAGCATTCACTGCCCTTGCAGATGGGAGTTCATTCCCAACACCAGTTATCATGGAGCTTACAACCACATGTAATTCCAGTTCCAGATTCAAAGCCCTCTTTTGGCCTTATAGGGCATTTTTGGCATGTGCACATATACACATTAATTTAAAGAGAGGGAGCTTGTGACATAGTTCAGTACTTGTCTAGAATCCCCCAGTAAGGGCCCGGAAGTGTGACTCAGTGGTAGAGCCCCTGCCTAGAATCCCCCAGTGAGGGGCTGGGGTGTGGCTCAATGGTAGAGCCCCTGCCTAGAAACCCCCAGTGAGGGGCTGGGGTGTGGCTCAATGGTAAAGCCCCTGCCTAGAATCCCCCAGTGAGGGGTTGGGGATGTGGCTGTTGCTAGCTGAGTTCAAACCCCAGGACCGACACAGTTCTCATTAAGCAAGCTATAGAGTCCCTCAAGGCCTGTGAACACTGTTAATGAGCCTCCCCTGGGCAGGTGTTTTAGAGCCCACTCAAGGGCCATTATCCTCAGGACATGAAGCACCTCTATTCATTTGAATTCTCAACAGACTCATGAGACATGATGAGAGTTCCTGCAGTCACTTGAGGCTTTCTAGCTGGCCAGGCTGACTCCCTGATACGGTGTGTGACAATCCCTTTGAGGGATGGTGTGCCTGTCTAGCCTTGACTCACTGACCTTGTCTTCCGGTTTTTGTTTTTGAGTCAAGGTTTCTGTGTAGCTCTGGTTGTCCTAGAACTCCCTCTGTAGACCAGGCTGGCCTTGAACTCACAGAGATCCACCTGCCTCTGTCTGTCAATCATTATGGTGATAAACACATAAAGAGGAATGAGGCCAGGACAGGAGGGAACGCTGCCAAGCAGGAGCTTGCTTAGATTCGGAGAATTTGCTGCATTGTAGAATCTGAAAAGTCCAGCTGTGGGTGTGGGCATGGAAGCCAGGAGTTGATGGAGCCGAAAAAGGGTTATAAATTTGAAGCCAACCTGAGCTACAATGACACCTACATACAGCTGCAATGAACAGGGAAGGGAGAGGAAAAGTCTTCAGCATGTAATATCAGCTCCAGGGCTTACCTTTTACAGTAAATTTAGTTTTTACTGAGGAGGAGGCTGGAGAGATGGCTCACAAGCTGAGAGTACTTGTTGCTCTTGCAGAGCATCAGAGTTTGGCTTCTAGCACCCACACCAGGCAGCTCATAACCACCCATGCTGAAATCCAGTCCCAAGGGATCCAATACAGTTTTCCCCAACACCCATACACATTAAAACAAAACGAAAAACCCAAGGGCAAAGAACCAAGCATGATATGCACCATGTGAGGAGAAAAGTTAGAGAGGAAACGGATTTGCTCATAACTGCTGACTCTAGCTGGGGCTGTAGGTCAGCAGTAGAGGGCTTGCTTAGCAAGCATGAGGACCTGGGTTCAATTCCCAGTACTGCCAGGAAACATACAGATTAATTTTAGCACACTGGAGACTTGAAGTATTTAGTGTGACCATCCACTCCATTGACTTAGAGGTGGTCAGAGTTCATAAAATAACTATGTGAAAACAGAAAAAATGGAGACTTGAGAGATGACTCAATGGTTATAAGCACTGGCTGTTCTCCAAAGATCCAGCACCCATACTGCAGTTCACAACAGGCTGTAACTCCAGTCCCAAAGTATTTGATGCCCTCTTCTGGCCTCTGCGAGCACTGCACGCACATTGTACACATACACACATGCAGACACAACACCCATAAAACAACGAAACACTTGCTGCTCTTACAGAGGGCTGGAGTTTGGTCCTCAGCACCTACAATCATCTGTAGAGGAGAGTTCCAGCTCCAACTCCTCTCTGGCCGCCACAGGCACACATACACATAAATACATTAAAAAATAAATAAATAAAGTTTTTTGTTTGGTTGGTTCTTTGAGACAGGGTTTCTCTGTGTAGCACTGGCTGTCCTAGAACTCACTCTGTAGACCAGACAGATCTGAAATTCAGAGATCCAACTGCCTCTGCCTCTTGAGTGCAGGGACTAAAGGCGTGCGCCACCACAGCCCACTATAAATACATCTTTAAAAAGAAAATGTATCTTCATTTTAGAACAAGAAAGATAAGCATTGTGAGCCCCCTTGTGGGAGGACACCCCAGCCTCTTGTCCAGCTGACCTATACACACAGTGTGAAACTTTTCCAGTGAATTTTTATTAGCAGTTGCATCATGATTCAGGGTCCCAGGGCAGGGACCATCATATACCCAGGTCCCCCTTTACTACATGGGAAGGACAGAACAGAGGAGAGGTGGGCGAAGCCAGGTCAGATCTTCCCGGGAAATGTGCCTTCTGCTCTTCGGTCATCCCAGGCTGAAACCTGTAAAAGATAATTGGCGTAACTCCTCCTGTGACATGACAAAACCACATTTTCCCTCTCTTTACTCACTGATGCCTGTGGCCAACAAAGGACCACGGGACTCTGCTATGTGCTAACCACTGCCCCCAGAGAACCAAAAGTGACTCAGAAAGACAAAACCACTGTTGTCCTGGCTGTCCTGAAACTCACTCTGTAGACAGGGCTGGCCTTGACTCTGAGATCCACCTGCCTCTGCCTCCCAAGTGCTGGGACTAAAGCTGACAGTCTGAGGGAGAGCAGGCAGGAAATCCGGGATCACCTGTGGAGAGTGTGAACTGCCCTTGCAGAGGACCCCAGTTCAGTCCCTAGCACTCACACCAGGGAGTTCACAACTGCCTGCAGCCCAGCTCCAAGTGATCGGATACCTTCTCTAGTCTCCGAGGGCATCTCACTCACATGCACACAGCCACACCCAGAAACAGACAGAATAGAATATTAGTTTTGCTTTTGTTTGTTTTTCAAGACATGGTTTCTGTTTAACAGCTCAGGCTGTCCAGGAACTTACTTTGTAGACCAGGCTGGCCTCGAACGCAAGACACCGGCCTGCCTTTGCCTCCTGAGTGCTGGGGTTAAAGGCGTGCGCCACCACCACTGGCCGGTTTGTTCTGTGTTTTAAAGAGTTATTTACTTGCCAGGTGGTGGTGGCAACAGCACACCTTTAAACCCAGCACTCAGAGCTCGGTAAGTTCGAGGCCAGCCTGGTGTATAGGGTGAGTTCTAGGACAACCAGGGCCACACAGAAAATCCCTGTATCGAACTCCCCAAAACAACAACAAAACGATTTTTAATTTTATGTTTATGGGTCTTTTGCCTGCATATCTGTGTAGTGCTTACCCTTTGCCCACAGAGGCCAGAAGAGGGTCCTAGGGATGCAATTCAGGCTGTCAAACTCGGGGCAAGCACCTTTATCCACCAAAGCCATTTCATTCTCACGTTTATTGAGAGGTTGAGTCAAGAGATAGAAGCATGGACAAAGGAGACCGCACTCTGACCACGAGGGACTAGACCAGTTCACACAGGCAACAGCACCCGTCAGAAAACCTACTTATCGACCACGGGCCAGCACCAAGCTCTGCCACGTTTGCAGCAGGCTGTTCCGCCACAGGGCTGTTCCGCCGCAGTGGTGACTGGCACAGGATGCACCAAGGCTGTCTAGATGCCAACACCAACTTCACTGGCCGCAGCTCTCAGAATTTTTCAGTCGCTGAGTTTACCTTTGTTTTCAAGGAGGAGCCCTTTTTTATTAAGACAGGGTCTCTGGCTGTCCTGCAACTCACTATGTAGACCAAGTTAGCCTCGAACTCACAGAGATTCGACTGCTTCTGCCTCCAAAGTTCTGGCAAGGCCTTTTTCACCATACTCAACATAAGGGTGCTATGGGATATTTGTATACTATGTGAAGATACACTGCTGTGATTGGTTTAATAAAGAGCTGAATGGTCAATAGCCAGACAGGAGGGATACATAGGTGAGAAGTAGGAGATGAACTGAAGCACTAGAGATAGAAGCTGGATGGGCAGTAGGTGACAAAATGTAGATTAATAGAAATGGGTTAATTTAAGTCATAAGAGCTAGTTAAAAACAAGTCTAAGCTAAGGCCAAGCTTTCATAAATAAGTCTCCGTGTCAATATTTGTGAGTTGACAACCCAAAGAAAAATCTGACTACATAAGGGTTTTGTTTTTGGTTTTTATGAGACAGGGTTTCTCTGTGGCAAAGCCCTGGCTGTCCTAGAACTCACTCTGTTTACCAGGCTGGCAGTGGTAGCACACACTTTTAATCCTAGCACTTGGGAGGCAGAGGCAGGTGGATCTCAGTGAGTTCGAAGCCAGCCTGGTCTATAGAGAGACTTCCAGGACAGGCTCCAAAACAATACAGAGAAACCCTGTCTGGAAACAAAAAACAAAACAAAACAAAACAAAAAGAAGCCTCAGTACTTATAATCCCAGCACTTAGGAAGTAGAGGCAAAGAGTCAGAGGTTCAAGAGTTCAAGCTTAGCTTCAGCTATCTTGTGAGCCAAGATAGGAGAGGGTCTGTCTCAGGACAATAACTACAACAAAAAAACTAGGCATGAGGCTCGATGACTTTGGGCAAATCACCCTTTATCCTAGTAGTCTCTCTCTCTCTCTTTCTCTTTCTCTCTCTCATACGCACGCACTTCCTGGTAAGCTAGCCACCATGTACCAAATGCAGGCCAAGAGGCTGGGGGAGGGCTGTTGCGGGATCACAGCCTAAGATCACCCAGAAAGAAATCTTGGAGCCTCAGATAAGAGGGTATGGCAGAGAGGTGACAGGAAAGTTAGGCTAGCCTGGTGATAGGCACCTGGCATCCCAGTACAGGGAAGGCTGAGACAGCAAAGATTGCTGTGTATTTACAGTGCGTACCAGCCTTTTCAGAGCCACCACCCCAAAAGCCAACACTGGGGGCCGGAAAGACGGCTCAGCAGCTAAAGAGCACGGCTTCACTCTCAGCAACCACACGGCGGCCCACAACCATCCGTAACCCCAGTTCCCGGGACCTGATGGCCTCTTCTGGCTTCCATGTGCACCAGGCACACATCCGGTTCACAAATATACATGTAAACAAAAGATCCACACCCAAAATATAATCATTTTAAAATAAAAAAATAAAGCAGGGCAGTAGGAGGCAGAGGCAGGAGGATCTCTGAGTTCAAGGCCAGCCTGGTCTATAGAGTGAGTTCCAGGACAGCCAGGGATGTTCCATAGAGAAACCCTGTCTCAAAAACAAAAAACAAATACATACATATTTCTGTACCACAGTTAAAAAAGGGAGGAGCCGCAAGACCCAGTGAAAGCTGGGTACATGGCCCAGTTGGTAGACTGCTTGCCTGGCTTACAAGAAAGAAGCCTGGCATCCGTCCCAGCCCTGCTTTAGACAGGGTGTGGTACCCTATGCCCGCAACCCCAGCTCCCAGAAGGCTGAGGCAGGATCTCAGGAGTTCAAGGTTATTTGTGACTACAAAGACAGTCCAGATTATACATTAGACTCTGTCTAACAATAATCACTACCCTACAATAGTTCAAAGCAAATCACAGAACAGAGTATCCAATACAAGGAGCCAGGGAGATGACTCACCGATTAAGCATACTTGTTGCTCTTGCAGAGGACCCAGGTTCGAGTCCCAGCACCCACATGGTGGCTTACAACCACCTGTAACTCCCAGTTCTAAGAGACCAAACACCTTCTACTGACCCCCACAGACACTAGTACACACTTAGATGACCTTTAACTTCTGTTCCACCTCCTGAGTGCTAGGATTCCAGATGTGCTGCTGCTACCCTGAACTAAAGTGTCCCAGTTTGATTCTAAAGCACATGTTTTCAGTTTTTCTATCTCTGAAAAGAGCATGAGTGTTATAATGCCCTCATCAATTCTTATAAAAACCGAGCATCTCCGGATGTCTCAGTCAGGAGGGTCCTCTTGATGACATGAAAGAGGATATGCTGGAGTATTAACTGCTGACTAAGAAGGCTCACCACATAAGTGTCAAAAACACTGTTTCAGTGGGTCCTGAACAGGCAGGGGCGGAACGGCTCGTCTAGATTTGCTCTAGAGTAGTTCAGCAAAGAGAAGACGAAAAGGAAAAGACACGTGAAAGAACGAGTCCCGGTGGTGCATGACTGTAATCCCAGGACCCGAGTTCAACACCAGCCTGCACTACACAGCAAGACCCTGTCTTAAAAAGGAAACTGTGCGGCCGACAATGGCCCGGAAGGGACAGTGCTCGCCAGGTGAGCCTGAAGACCTGCATGTGAGTCTGTAACGGTGGGAAGGACACCTGACTCCGTGCAGCTGTCCTCTGACCTCTGCACACCTGTACCACCCACACGTATCACATGTACAACAATACATCTATAAAAAAAGCTAAAGAGAAAAGAGTGGGAAAACCCTGAGCCTCTATTCAGTCTGCATTGGGGCACAGGCCTTTGATGCCAGTGCTGGAGAGGCAGAGCCAGGCACATCTCTGTGTGAGTTGAGGCCAGCGTGCTCTGCACACCAGAGATCTGCCTGCCTCTGCCTCCCAAGAGTGCCGGGATTAAAGATGTGTCCCCATGCCATCGTTGACAGCCCATGTTTCGGCAGTGCACGGCCAAGGCAGATCCAGGAGGATGGTCCTGGGCTGAGGGCCCTAACTGGGTGGTGTCAGTGACATCCCACAGTTGGTCCTACCTTGGCCCTTAGAGATGACTGTCACTAGTCACCACATTCCTTTCTGCTCGGTCCCCACCTGAACACCCAAGGGTCCCCCTGGGAGGCACATACCCATGACACGGGGCAGAGGGACTTGTACACACGCCGGTACCACTCACACACGGAGACATCACCCCCCTTTGCCGTCATTGCCTTCTCGCAGCGGTGGAAGTCTACGAAGAGAGGAGATTCGGAATCAGCCCAGACCAAATGCATTTTTGAGAAAATTTCCAAGTTTTTCTTGCTTAGCGATTGGTTATACACACAGAGCAGATGCAAATTCAGAGTATACCATAAAAAGCTCTATGCACCTGACCTGGGCAGTTATATTGTTGCTCAATGTAACAATCTGGAGCCAGAGAGCAAGACATGAGGGGCATTGGAGGATTTTGAAGTCCAGACATGGCTAGGAAAGGCCAAGATGGTCTTGATAGCAAGCAAAGAAAGACAGGAGGGTACCAGTGTCTGCTTCTTCCTATACTTTTTGAGGGAAGGTCTCATGGACTCAAGTGTTGCAGGAGCATCAAAATGTAACTACTTTCAATTAGTGCTGCCATGCCTCTAGTGAGGAGGGAAGTGTGTTCAAGGCTGGGCACAAAGCAAGCAGAAAACAGAATGATGGCAACATCCATTTTCTACATGGATTGGAATCACTTCTGAATTAACTGTTCACATGTTGTAGGCTCTTGTATGTTGTGTGCATGTATGGCACACATGATTTTTTTTTTTTTTTTCAAGATAGGGTTTCTCTGTGGCTTTGGAGCTTGTCCTGGAACTAGCTCAGTAGACCAGGCTGGTCTCGAACTCACAGAGATCCATCTGCCTTTGCCTTCCGAGTGCTGGGATTAAAGGCATTAAAAGTGTGCACCACCAATGCCCAAGCACATACATAATTCTTCAAAAAAAAAAAAAAATATGGTTGGGACTAATGTTTGCCCTCCAGGCAGTATATCAGGACAGAATGGACACAAGCGGGAAGGCATCGGTCCCTGCCCGCCCTGTCTTCCCTCAGGAGGCAAGAGGTATGTAGAAGACACAGGCGAGATGCACCATCTCACCTTCCCACCCCGGTACCCTGCTTACCCAGGTAGTTCTGCCAGCAGTTCTTGGTCTGGTTCTGGTTTGGGAAGCGGCTATCAAAGGGGGCAGTTTTGTAGTTCTTGATTTTAGTCTTGATGTCTTCAGCCATGGTGCTCACTCCTGGATACAAACAGAATTTGTACATTGGCAACCACTCTGGGGTGCCTGGCATAGAAATGGCAGGACCAACAAGGCCCATGGGAGAAGTCCAGACTGGAACGGGTTCAATGCAAAGAAGCTAATTCCTCCTTCTCTCTCTCTCCTTTTTGTTTTTGTTTGTTTGTTTTTGAGACAGGGTTTCTCTGTGGCTTTAGAACTGGAACTCACTCTGTAGACCAGGCTGGTCTCGAACTCACAGAGATCCGCCTGCCTCTGCCTCCCAAGTGCTGGGATTAAAGGTGTGTGCTACCAATGCCCAGCCCTACCTCCTCCTTCTCAACAAACACAGAAAGATGAAGGGCAGGGAAAATCCATGTATCTGAGTGTAGAAGAAGCCACAGTAGGGTCAGGAGTCAGAAGTCTCCTTTAATTCCAGTTAACACTTACTGTGTGCATAGCACATACTATGGACACGATATACACACCTCCTCTTATGGCCAATCTGAAAGATATTACTGTCTCTAGGGTCTATACAAGGGACAGGGTGTCCAAAAGCCTTCCCAAGGTCATAAAGTACCGGGATGGTGGTGCTGCATCCATCATCATCAAAAACAACATGACAAGGGTTTCTGGTGTCACACACTTTATCGGGAGTCCTGTGCACTCATCAACTTTTCTGAGAATATGGCTAAGTACATGGAAAAATTGCTTAGGGTGACCCAAAATAAATAAATAAACAGATCGGCTCAAAGGACTGACCTACCACAAATGGAGGTGACCCCGCGTGAAGGTAGTAGTGATTTGTGACACTGGCAACTCGAATGTGTGAGATAATTGTGATTTTGACTTCTGACAAAGTCCTACAGGTTGCCAAATCTACTGAAGTTACTGTCTCCATTCCTAAATGCTACATTTCAATTAGAGGTTAATAATACCACCATGCAACTCCCCCATTCGCATGCAAATACCTTAGCCCCTCAAACTCTACTGACTCCGAGTACCCACGGTTTCTAACAAACCCTTTGATATGCCTGAGCAGATGGCACAGTTAACATCACCGAACCTGAGACAAACTGGTTATTCTGGAGCATCTGGGAGACCTCGGCGTCACAGAAGTACGCAGGCCAGTGTCAGTTCAAGCGGCCCAAAGTAGCGGGGCGCCTGGAGCAGCAGAACGGGTTCATTTGGGGAGGAAGGGTGGAGACGGGGGAGGGGGGGCGTTTAACAGACCCGGTGCCGGGAGTAATTTTGTGCAATATCTCGAGTTTTGAGAGTTGATCAAAGATGATGCTGGGGAAAAGGGAAGGAGACAGGCAACACGCTGCGGCCCTGGAGCGCGGTGGCCCCGCCTGTGAGCCCGCGGCTAACAGCAGCAGCACAGCCCAACTCCCGGGATGCGAACCCTGATCGCCGTGCGGCGGGGGCCAAGGCGCCTCACACTGCAGCCCGAGGGCCGGCGAAGGGGACAGTGGGAGGCCCTAGCTCGCGGGGCTGGGCGATGGAGCAAGTTCAGAGACTGCTCAGAATGACAGCATCAAGAATGAAGGCTGTAATGGTCGGTCAGCTCCGAGACCCCGGGCCCGAGGCCGCCGCGGCGGCCGGAAGCTCCTTCCCAGCGTCAGGGAAGCCCCGGGCCGCTTCTCCGCTCTGGACTGGGTTCCCCGGGATCCCGACCCTTCGCACTCACCTAAAGACTGCTCTGGAGAAGCGATAGTTCAATGTGACCCTTAGCAAAGACTCCAATGTCAGACGGGAAGCGGAATTCCGACTGGCCGGAAGCTCCGAGAGGAGGAGCCGAACTGAGTCCTCCGAGCGGCTAGAGAGGCCATGGGAGGCGTGCCCAGAAGCGGGCCAAGTCACGCCCACTTCCGGAGAGGTCCGACTTCCTATTGCGCTAAATTCCTGTTCGTTATTGTTGCCGGTCCAATCGGGGTCTTGCGTTGCGCTCCACAGGCTCTTGAATTCTAATTCGGGTTATAGTCACCTGCCTGTCCTTCCGGAGGGAAAAGACAGTCGTGGGACTGACTGTCTGCAGAGTAGGGATGGGAAAATGTCCCAGAATATGTTTGTGTTTTGAGACAGAATTTTGCTAAGTAGGTCACCCTGGCCTCGAACTCAGATTCTGACGTGCTGGGATAACAAACGTTATGCCTGGATTCGAAAGTTATTTTCATTAGTGTGTTGTGGGGTATCCACCAAGGAAGACTGCTCAGATGAGTTTAAGCCAACAGAAAGTGTTTATTAGCCCTCTAGGAACTACATTGGGTGGTTCAGGTTCCCAGCTTTTTTTCAGGGTTTTTAAGGACAAAAAACATATTCTGGATTGTCATGCTTCAATTAAGAACAGTTAGGCAGCTGGGCAACGGTAGTGCACACCTTTAATCCCTTTAATCCCTGCATTTGGGAAGCAGATGCTGGCAGATCTCTGAGTTTCAGGCCAGCCAGAACTGCAGAGTTCCAGGATTTGAAACAAACAAACTAAACACAAAACAGCCAAAAAAAGAACTTCAAAAGCCAAGCACAAGGTTAGTCCCTTCAGATGTCCCCAGAACTATGGGCTTTGATAAATTAGGTCTTTATTTTTATTTTGGCAGGCGGGGCTGTCAGCGTGCTGAATTGGATGGCCTGAATGATACTTGTATCAGATAGTTGTACTAGGTCTGAGGGGCTACTGAGGTCTGAGTCTTAGTCCACATTTGAGAAATATTTATTGAATGCTTATTCTTATCAAGCACATCTATAAGAAGACACTGCTGAAGAAAACACAAAACCTTTACCTTCATAGGTGCTAAGATTCTTGTGAAAAGGTGAAAAATGAATGAAGCGGTCTATCCTATGGTCTCATCGTATCAGACATCACTCCCTGTTCATTACTGTCCTCAAACCTCAGAAATCACAGCCAACAGCCCTGTATTAATCAGAGGAGACTATAGGAATTAAATGCTGGGTCTGGTGGAAATAGTTCCATGTGTCATTCTGTCAATTTTTTTTTAAGACTTATTTATTATGTAGACAATGTTCTGCTGGCATGTATGCCTGTATACCAGAAGAGGGCGCCAGATCTCACTACAGATGGCTGTGAATCACCATGGTTGCTGGGAATTAACTCAGGACCTTTGGAAGAGCAGGCACTGAGCGCTCTTAGCCTCTGAGCCATCTCTCCAGCCCAATGGAATTTTTTTGTTGGCTTGCTTTTTGTTTTCTCGAGACAGGGTTTCTCTGTATTGCTTTGGAGCCTGTCCTGGAACTCACTCTATAGACCAGGCTGGTCTCGAACTCAAAGATCTGCCTGTCTCTGCCTCCCAAGTGCTGGGATTAAAGGCATGCAACGCCCAGTGGAATTTTTTTTTTTCTTTTAAGTTGTTCATATAGCCTGTGTGACCTATCAAGTCAGAACCTGTTGGTTCTGGCTTCTAAATATTTCCAAAACCTTCCTCTTCTACATGCAGTCCTGGTCCTTCCTCCTGGATTATTAATGGTAGGTCCATTTCCTGGCATCCCAGCTTTCCTGTTGTTCCAGTGTGCCCATCCCTGCTGTAAAGAAGACTGTTAACATCTCGGGAATACCACACCCTTTCCTCAGCCAGAACGCATTCGCTGGCTTCTGGCATAACTAGTCTAAAACTAAAGCTCTTACAAATGACTTTCCCCTCATTCCCTGCACCCCAGGCGCCCTGTTTGGCTGGCTTCCCCTAGCTTTTACACTTGTTCCTTGTCCTGCCTGTAGATGGCTCCTCTTCTTGCCTGCTTTGAGGCTTTGGTTTATAAGTCTCTGCTGAATGAATAAAACTTGTATGCAAATGAGGGGCACTGAGGGACTAGAAAAGGGTGATGTGAAGGAGAGCGGCTTTCCTCTCCATAGCCTGGCCTCTGAAGTTCCCATCATAATTCCTTTTTATTTTTCATTTATTTATTTATTATTACTTTTTCGTTTTTTTTTTTTTTTCCTTCGAGACAGGATTTCTCTGTGGTTTTGGAGCCTGTCCTGGAACTCGCTCTGTAGACCAGGCTGGCCTTGAACTCACAGAGATCCTCCTGCCTCTGCCTTCCTGAGTGCTGGGATTAAAGGTGTGTGTCACCCACGTCCAGCAAGGGAGTTGGTTCTTGATGGAGTTTCCACCATCTAAGTCCTCTGGGCCAAATTCAGGTTGTCAGGCCTAATGGCCTTTACACTCAGCTATCTCATTGGCCTTACAAATTGTTTGTTTGTTGTTTGTTTAATGTGCAATGATGTTTTGTCTTCATGTATGCCTGGGTGAGTGTGTCAGGTCCCCTGGAACTAGACTAACAGACAGTTGTGAGCTGTCACGTGGGTGCTGGTAATTGGACCCAGGTCCTCTGGAAGAGCAGACAGTGCTCTTAACCACTGAGCCATCTCTCCAGACCCCTACATACTGTCTTTGATGCACTGTCTAGACCTAACTGGTGCATATATATATATATATATATTCAGCATTGCAATTATTTGTGAAGTTATTTGTGTACTTTCAACATCTTCCTAAAATCCAGATATCGTATACATCTCTGGGGCTCCCCAGGGCATTGGAAACCAAGACACCACAGCCTGTGGCTCCCTTGCATAGGGAGCTCCCTCCACCCGTATGCGTCATTTCTGAACAACACTGTGAGATCTTCCATCTCTGGGTCTTTTCTGACTGAAACAGTCTTTGCTTTCCTGACTTCTCTGCATCCCACCCCAGACTCTCTTCCTCTGGGACTAGATCACCCTGAGGACTGTGTCCCTTTCCAGTGACCATGCCGGTTTGTGCCTGTCCACGGCACTGTGAACTCTCTGAGGACAGACAGGGTTCAGGACGCTGTGGTTAGTGAGTGATGTAGCCCCAGTGTCACTCGCTGGAGAGTTATGTACTAGGCTGTCTTTGGAGACTCTTGTAGTGGGTTAAGCATCCAGTAGGCTTTTTAAAGATCTGGTTCTGTTGTTAGTATTCAGGCATTTGTACTGGCCTGTCCTTGGGGTTCTGACAGGACATGCCTTCAGCTGCTGCCACCAACACCAGCACCTGTGCACATTCACTGTGTTCCCTTTTAAAAGGTCCCTGCCCACCTCCAATCTCTTCTCTCCCTCCCATCCCCCCCCTCTCCCACTGTTCCTGTCACTGGAGGCTGGCCTCTCCCCTTCCCTTTCCCCTCTTTATGATCCTTTCCCCTAATAAAAACCCCCGCCACTTGAATTCCGTTGCATGGAGTCTTTCTCTTTCAACAGCCTTTTCTTTCTTCCTTTTTAAAATTACCATCCTACGTCTGACACGAGATATTGAGGTTTAATAAGGATCAGGAGAAACAAATAGGCCGAATAGATGTTTATGTAGGGAGAAATAACTTACAACCTAGTCAGGTGAACACCAGCAGGTTCCTGGTCCCGACCCCATCCCCGTGCTGCAAGCAAGAGAGCTCTCTGAGCCCCCTCCTCAGCCTTAGTTCCCCCAGGTTATGTCCGGCTCTGTCTCCACCCCCAATGGGCGTGGTCTATGCCACAGGCGCGGACAAGGTAAACATCTCACTACACACCTACATCTTCCAACTTGGAGTACCCGTGGTTGTTGGGAGTGTGTATTATTTCTAATTATTCAATGGCTTCTAGAACTAGAAGGTATTCAACAAGTTTTTTTGGGGGGAGAGTCTGGGCTCTCTCTCTCTTTCTCTCCTCCCCTCTATTTTGTTTTGAGACAGGGACAGGGTCTCTCTATAGCCCTGGTGGTCTTGGAACTCACTATGTAGACCAGGCTGGCCTCCAACTCATAGAGATCTTTATAAGGGCAGGTACCACTATGCCTGGCCCTGAGCCTGAGTCTTTTCTCCAAGACAGAGCAGATAAACGTCTATGATGTGGTTTTATAGCACAGTAGCACTCTAACTATCATAACATGCCCAGATGGGGCTACTTCGTAAAGAAAGTAGGTTTGTTTTTGGCTCATGGTCTGGAGCAATAAGGTCCCAACAGTGCAACTCAGGCTCTGAGCAGGGACCCCTGGGTTGATTATGCTACTTCATCCCTTGCTTGATGGACTTTTTTTGTTTCAAACAGTGTGTTGCTATGTAGCCCAGGCAGATCTGGGGGGTCTAAATGTACAATTCTGCCTCAGTCTCCTGAATGCTGTGAAATTAGAGGTCTATGTCTCCACTTCAAGTTGAATGGCTTTCTTCTTCTCCCTCTCTTTCTTCTTGTAACAGTGTAACAATCTTAGTTGTCCTGGAACTCAATTTGTAGTTTTGTAGACCAGGCTGGCCTCTAACTCAGAGATCTACCTGCCTCAGTCTCCTGAGCACAGAGAATACAAGCCTGTGTCACCACACCTGGCTTCAAATGGCCTTCTTGAGGTTGGTTGTCTTGAGACAGCCAGGACATCATTTGGTATGAGACTGGAACACACTTGTGTCTCTCTAGCCCTGTTTACAAAATATCAGAATGCAATCATGAGGAATCCTAAACCTCTAACCACTTCCAAATGGGCCATCTCTAAACACTGAAGATTAACATTCAGTGTTCTTGTTTAATGGAAACCTTTGGGGATTAAATTCTTAGCCTGGTGGTGATGACCACCACTCAGGCCTTTAACCCCAGCACTCAGGAGGAAAGGCAGGTAGATCTCTGAGTACGAGGCCAGGACAGTCCAGGCTACACAGAGAAACCTTGTCTTAAAAAAAAAAAAAAAAAGAAAAGAAAAACAATAAATACTTAGATAAATTTGAGCATATTGTCAAGCCTTAAATCCAATTTCACCGAGAGGTGGTGGTACATGCCTTTAATCCCAGCACTTGGGAGGCAGAAACAGGTGGATCTCTGAGTTTGAGGCCAGCCTGGTCTACAAACCGAGTTCCAGGACAGCCAGGACTGTTACACAGAGAAACCCTTTAAAATCTCTTTAAAAGTCCCTATACAGGTCAGGCACACGCAGTAGGCCCTATGAACTTCTTACCCCAAACTAATCTCCAAATTGAGAGGTGCAGATACTGAGGGGAGTGGGGGGGGCTTGAAACCTGAACACCTGCTGCAGGGCGGGGAGGGGCCTGGCAGGGAGAGAGCTGGGATTGTAGCTGATGGATTCGCAGTGGGAGGAGCTGGTCCTCATTCCTGGGTCCTCTTAAATGAGGGAACTAAGACATTGACAGTCTAGGGATCCAGACCCATAGACTTTGTGCAAGATAGATAGGGGTCTAGATACCCGAGTCTGGGTGGAGACGCCATACGGAAATGTCGGAAATTTAGGTTCCCTGACAGGTCTAATGGGTGTCAGTGAAAAAGAAGCAGACAGGTACGCATGTTCGACAGGGTGTTTTTATTGACTTCCTGCACCTGGCAGGTGGCCCATGCTATCCGGATAGGGAAGGACCGGCACACGTCCCCCAAAGCGGTACGTGTACTTGCGCCCACCGCTCTTGAGCACGATGTCACGGCGGTAATAGTAGCGCAGACCTCGGCTCAGCTTCTCATAATTCATTCCCGGCTTCCTCTTGCGCTCGCCCCACAGCCTGGCCACCTAGGACGTAATCGGGTGGTCAGAGGAGCGAGGGGGCGGGCCTTAGCCTGTATGGGTGGGGCGGGTCTTAGCCGTGATGGGAGAGGGGGTGAGAGGGTGGGTGGGGGCGGACGGGGCCAAGGACTAGGCTGGGCACATACATAGCTAGCTGTCTCACCTCTTTTGGGTCGCACAGCTGGAACTCGCGGCTGTTGCCCGTCCAGCGGATGCAGCTGCTGCGCGCCCCGTCGTGGAGCAGCTCCAGGAGGAACTGCCACAGCTGAATGGGACCTGCGAGGTAGAAAGAGGCAGGTGAACGCTGGGCTTCCTAGACCCAAAATCTCCGCTGCGGTGACCCAAGGAGTCGGGGAGCCTTCACCTCGACGGCTAAAAGGTTCAGGCTCTCCCAATTTAGGACCCAGGAATTTAGCTGTGCCCCTCCTCAGGCATCTGTGAGTTTGGATCCCTCCACACTGGAGACCCAAAAGCCAGTTTCAGACGTAACCCAGGGGCCTACCTCCTTGTCCCCTTGGTCCCTAGAAAGCCACCAGTGTCCTCTCATCTCTTCCTAAGCCTCGCGGGACATAACCCCGTCAACTCCCCCCCCCACCAGCTGCCAGGTTCCCAGATCTGGCCTCTGTAAGTTACCCAGATCCTCCCCGCCCCCCCCCACCACCACCAAAGGCTCCATTCTCCTTCATCCATTTGACTTCGCCTTCTCTGCGCGCGCAGCCTCTTACCTCGGTGGTTACTTTTGGGGTAGCGAGTCAAGCTGGCCCGATCAGACTGCTGGCTGGATTTGGAGGACGTGCTAAATGTTGGACTTCGGTACGCCTCCCGAGGGACGCTGCAGTCCGGCAGCCCAGTATTCCAAGAGGTGGTGTAGTCCGAACCCGCAGACCCGCCCCACGACATCATAGAGTCCGCGCGCGCTTCCCCGCCCAGGCCATTGTCCCAATAGGTGGCGCCATTGGTGTCCAGGGAACAGTCCCAGCTGGCGGCGCTCCAGGCGGCCGGAGGGTGCGACCACGAGGGGGCCCCTCCCGCCGAGGTGGCAGGATGTGGGCCCGTCGCCCCTTCAAAGCCAGCCAAGGGGGAGGGGCTCGTGCCTGGAGGGGCGGGGCCTGGCGTCTGTGAAGCAGGGCTCCACGGGTCCGAGGTGTTGCACCCCAGGTCAGTCCAGTCTCGCGACCACGGAAGGGGGTGAGCAACCGGCTCTGTGAGGAGGACCGACCTTAAGTGACGGGAGCCCAGGAGTCTTGGTCTCCTGCACCCTTGGGAGTCTTAGGGGGTTGGCGCTTTATGTAGCTCTGAGGATGTGGGTGTCCCTAGTCCTAGTCCCGTTCCTCGGTAGACTAGGGGATCTAAACTCTCAACTCTGGTGTGTCAGGGTCTCGTTTCTCTCCTCCCACCTCCCTTTCTCCACACTCACCCGCCTCACAAGGTACTTCCTCCTGCGGTAAAGCGGGGCTCCAGTCCAGCTCTGGGAACCCTGTGTGGGACAAGGTAGCCGCTGACTTTAGGATGATGTGAGCCGTGACTTAAGGACATCGGGCACCCACCCATGCCTCTTTCAACTTCGAGTCTCCAAACATGCTACCTCCTCCCGGTCAGCCCCCTCATGCCTTCTAAAGAGCCCAGCCTCTCATTTTCCCCCAGCACCCCAGGGGTCCAGCCACCTTTCCAGCAATCATCGGTGGTCATCGGTGTGATGGGAGTGTCCCCTTGCAGTGCCACTTCAGGGAAATAGAAACCAAATTCCGCTCCTTCTGCGGGCAACAAGGATGTTAAGGCCGGGTCACGGGTCAAGAGGCCTGCATCCTTGGACCCTTGCATACACTTTGTCCCAAGCCACAGCAGCCTACCCATTCCTGTCAACTTGTCCCCAGGAGGCACTTCCTGCAGTGACGCTTCACCCCAGTTCCACAGGTCCATGGATGCTTGTTCTGCTTGCTCTGCTAAAGAAAGGAAAAGTTCCAAGGATAAATGGACAAGCTAGTGACATTTAGGGACCCAGGGGTCTGATTGCAACCCTTGTTTCCCTCAGACCCAGGAGTCTAGACTTCTGCAACCTACTTCCCCAGGAAATGGAAGACTGGTTTCCAGTCCCTTCTCCCTCTCACACACTTAAGATTCAGGCTACCAGAGTCTTGGGAGTGCTCAGGTCCTTTCTGGTTCAGATACCCAGGCATCCGTCCCCAGTTCGTCGTGGCTCACCTCTGGCAGGTTCCTTCTCTCCTAGCCAGGGGGGTCTCAGCCCCATTTCATACCATGGACCCTTCCCGGGGGGCCTGAGTAGGGGAGGGGGGAATTTTCCGAGACGTCAGAGCCGGGGGTCGCAGCCCGGGTCAAGTTGCAGGGATGGGGGCGTGGCCAAGCTGCACCCCCTGCTTTAGGGATGTACTCTGGTCCCTGGAACTGTCCCCTTTCAGAGATGAATTGGGCTTGGAAAAGGTTCCGGGGAACGGGAGCAGAGCAGGGCTGGGGGTGCCGAGGTCTAAGGGGTGCTTACGGGGTAGTGGGGATAGGGTGAGGGGACTGGGCAGGTTCCCCGTCTTGAGGATTTGATGCTGTGACATGAAAGGTGGTGGGGGAGGAGGGTCTGGGGTCAGCTGGGCAGCTCTGGGCTTATCTGCAACAGGAAGAGGGATTTCCGGCCAGATGCCCCCTTTCCCTAGCATCAGCCTACGTCACAATCGGCAGGGTGACAGACAGCCAGATGGGTGGGATGGGGGGAATCCAACCCTGAACTCCCTAACAGGTTAGGGAGGGTCTCCTGAGCAGTGGCAATCATAATCAAGCTAACATCAATGTGTTATAATAATGGTAAGCGAAACCGCTGACACTAAACGAGGGACTGTTGGGTCGAGGAGACAGGCACACAACAGGCCTTAGGAGGAGACTGTTTTCACCCCCCCGTTTCATGAAGGGGGACATTGAGACACGCTTTCTCCCATTTCTTCAGTCCAGATCGCATGTCTTTTGGGGCAGTAGCAGTCCTGGGCCACTGGGAAATGTTTGAGGATGAGCCGAATGTGAGTTATTGCACGGGATAATTTTATTTGTTAAAATTATGTTAATTTTTTGGCAAAGATTATTTGAATTGTGGCAATAGTAGGCTGGGAAAGATATGTTTGTTAGGCAGTGAAAACAGTTAGGGAGGAAATGTTATGTTTGCTTCAAAGATCTGAAATGAATCCACATTGTGCATAGGTATACACACTATTTGGAACTTAGCTATAACAAAAGGTGGGTGTTTGCTTGTTTTTAAACTGAAACTCAGTAACAAGTTGCTGTTTGTTTTGTTTAAATTTGCCAAGCCTGGCAAACCTTAGCTTCTGTAACCTGGCCTCAGACAATATGTGCCCATTTTTCTAAGTACTTACTTTATAAATATTAATAGGCATTAAAATATTTGCGGTCATTTTAATATTAAAGTTTAATATTAAAATTTTACTTACAAGTAAGTAAATATTTAATATTAAAAATTTTTTAATGCCAGACACGGTAATACAGTAGGGAGGCAGAGGCAGGCAGATCTCTGAATTTCAATGCCAGCCTGGTCTATGTAGTGAGTTCCAGGACAGCCAGGGCTACAAAGTGAGACCCTATTTAAAAAATAATAAATGAATACAAGCATTTTTTCTTTTTTAATAATTTATTTATTATAGCCAGCACAAGCCTTTAATTCCAGCACTCGGGAGGCAGAGGCAGGTGATCTCTGAGTTCAAGACCAGCCTGGCACCACAGACTGAGTGCTAGGACAGGGCTCCAAAGCCACAGAGAAACCCTGTCTCAAAACAAACAAACAACAACAATAAAAAATGTATTTATTTTACGTGCATTGGCATTTTGCCAGCATGTATGTCTGTGTGAGGATATTAGAGATTTTGTGAGGGGCCCTGTGCGTGCCAGGAATTGAACCTGGGTCCTCTGGAAGAGCAGCCAGTGCTCTGAGCTGCTGAGCATCTCTCCAGCCCCACAAACATTTTTCTTTATTGGTGCTGGCAAGGTGCTCTACCCTTAGCTGTATTTCTACCCCTTTACCCTTAACTTTACCGTGGTGTGTGTGTCAGGACACGCATGTAGAAGTCAGAAGACAACTTTGTGAGGCCAGTTCTCCTACCTTTATTCACATAGCTCTCGGGATTGAACTCAGGTCTAGACTTGTGCGGCAAGCCCCTTTACCCATGGAGCCATCTTCCCACAAAGCCTTTGGTTTTCTTTTTATTATTTTTATTATTTTCTTCTGTTTTTCAGAATAGGGTCTATGTGCCCCAGCTGGCCTCAAACATCTGCCGAAATTTGCCTCCTGAGTGCTGGGATTGAAGGCATGTGCCTCCTTGCCTGGCATGGTTTTTTTTTTTTTTTTTTTTTTTTTTTTTGTCAGTGCTCCACCCTCCCTTCCTCCCTTGGTTTGAGACAAGGTTTCTCTTTGTATCCTTGGCTGTCATGGAACATGGGCATGGGACTAGCTAGCTCTGTAGACCAGACTGGCCTCAAACTCACAGAGATCCACCTACCTGTGCCTCCTGAGTGCTGGGACTAAAAAGGTGTGTACCACCACTGCCTGACAGGTTTGTAGTGTGTGTGTGCACTGTCAGAGGTCAAAGGACACCCTGTGAGGGTTAGTTCTGTCCTTCCACCATGTGGATCCTGGGATCAAACTCAGGTCATCACGAGTGGCCACAATGTCTCCCCACTGATCTGTCCCACTCACCTAACGCTTTGAATTTTAGAGCTAGGGTTTGATTACACAGCCCAGGCTGGCCTCAAATAGAATTGTTGGTCCTCTTCCCCCTTCTTCTTCCTGGGTTCTGCACAATGCCTAGCAAACATTTAAAAAAAAAATTATGTGTACAAGTGTTTGTATACCATATGCATACCTGGCGCCCGGAAAGCAGAAGGCGGCACTGGGTCCTCTGGGAATGGACTAAGGGAGCTACCGTGTGGGCGCTGAGACTCAACCCCAGGTCCTCTGCAAGAGCAGCAAGTGCCCTGAACCGCTGAGCCTCCTGCCCCAAGTCTTTTTAGTACAGTCTGGCACAGTCCTTTCATTCTTCAGAAGTTTGGAGGTGAGGGAGGCATCCCTGCTCTTGTATTTTGCAGAAAAGCTGAACCTCAATAGAAGAGTATTTGGGGTCCAGTGTTGAGTGAGCCATGAGCCCCTAGGGAAATCCCCAACACCCCAATCCGTCCACCCACCAGGGGCCTGATGGGTCCTGGTGTCCTTGTTCCAGAGTCCCCTTCTCTGAAGCTGGCCTCTCCTGTCTCCCTCTCCTCTGATTGTGGTCCCTAGCCCTGGATCCCTGCTGTAGGCCGAGCTGAGGCCTCACCACAGTCTCCTGACGAGTGTCCCTGTGTCCTCCATGTGTCTGTACCATGCTAGCCACTGCACGGTGATAGTCCCTCCTCTGCCTCGCGTCCCTCTGCCCCTGAATCTCTGCCTGTTGTAGCCTCTGTCCTGTGCTCTTTGACCATCCCCTTTTTGGGGTTCCCTTTGCATCTCATCCTCCCTTACTCCTTAAGTTTCGGGGAGAAGGGGTTCAGGGTAGGAAGGGCCGGCTGACCACAGGGAGAAGGGAGTCTAAGGGTTCTGGGGGCTGAGTGGTCCATTCCAGGTGGCAGGGGGCTAAAGGGCACTTCCTGCCAGAGGGAGGCCTTCACCCCCCAGAGCCAGACTGGAAAATGTGACGTCAGAGAGGGAGCTGTAATGTGAGGGGTATGGGGACACAGGAACAGAAGAAATTTGACACCTCTCCAGAGGATCTCCCGGAGAGGTAGGATTCTCTCCACCCTCAAGGAGCTGGGCTGGCTTCCTTAATTTGCTCTCTAATCTGATTCTGGTTTGGGCCTTACCAGCTTCTATAAGGCTTGGGCATTTCCTTTTTGATCTCTTTCTTTCTTGCTTTTTGAGACAGTCTCACGATGTAGCCCTGCCTAGCCTGTAACTTGATTTGTAGACCAGGCTGGCCTCTAATTCAGTTTCTTTCTGCTCCTGCCTCCCAGTGCTGGGATTAAAGGTGTGCACCACCACACCCTGCCAGTGTTGCTGTTGTTGAGTCTGGGTCTCAGCCTGTGGAACCCTTGACAGTTACCCTGTCCTAGCCATACAAGCATAGGCTGTCACCCCCAGCTCAGGAATTCCATTTTGTAGGCTTTTGAGACAGGGTCTCGCTATGCAGTCCAGACTGGCCTTGAACCCATGGTCATCTTCCTGCCTCCGCCTCCCAAGTGCTGGACTTCTCTTTATGCACCACCAACTCAGGCATCAGGGCTCTAGTGTCAACCTTTGACCTAGGCCTGGTTTGATACCTAAGCTGTCTCAGCTTACTGGGCTCAGTGCTGCCTTCATACGAACAGGATCATAGGCCTTGTCTCCAAGGTCTAGAGGACACTTTTCAAACTTGAAGCTAGGTATAGAACCCAGAGACGCAGACAGCTAATAGGTTTGGAGAGAGAAGGAGGTGCTGAATAGGGCTCAGCAAAGAAACGCACACATCTGGAGTCCACAAGGTGAGGAAGGTGGTGTGAGGAATCTCAGCCAGAGATGGCAATACACACTGGGATCCCAGCACTTGGGAAACCGAGGCAGGAGTGCCAAGTTTGAGGCCAGCCTGGGCTACAAAGCTAGCTCATGGCCAGTCTGCCTCAAAACACAGTTCCTTGTTGGGCTGTGGCAGAAGCAGGCGGATCTTTGAGCTCCAGACCAGCCTGGTCTCCAGATAATTCCTCCTTCAGGATGTCTCTATCCTTGGGCTAGTTCCTTCGCTTTGCAATCCAATCCATGCCCAGGCCTGTCTGGCTTTGGGGTCCATGGAGACAGTGTATCATGAGCTCTAAGAGCTGTAGAAAATACAGAATCCCCAGCATTGCCTAGATCCTGGGATAGATGGAAGCCTGCCACAATGCGCACTTTACAAGGGCAGGGCCTAGATAACCCCCCAACACCCTACTCCAGTGTCAAGAGCACATGCTGAAGTCAGAAACATGGGCCCAAGCTGGGCTTGCCTTTGACGTTGCCACAGCCCCTCTTCCTAAGACAGAATGGGCTACAGTAACCATGCACTTGAGATTTTAACAGGTCAGAGGGCAGAGGTAAGGCTCTGGTGGTAGGGACCTAATTAGTACACACAGCCTGAATTCAATCCCCAGCACCAATACACTTGGTGTGGTAGTACATGCATGTAAGTTTTTGCTGTGTAGCCCAGGTTGGCTTCAAATGCTTGTTTCTCCTGCCTCAGCCTCCCAAGTGCTTGGAGTATAGTTGTGAACCACGTCCAGGAACATGAGATCCTATCAGACGGAACCAAGAGAGGAAGCTGGGGTGATGATTCAGTGGGTAAAGACGCTTGTCACCAAATCTGAGTACCAGTTTGATACCTGGAACCCAGGGATCCTCTGACTTACACACACACACACACACACACACACACACCAAATGCTTAAAGAAACCAAAACTGTAAGAAATAATGGGCGCACACTAGAGGCTTGACATTACATGTCTGAATGTTTGCTGGGTAAACGTTCCAAGTTCCCTCTTCTCAGATGGGATCAGCTGAAAGTTTCCAAGCTCAGTCAGGGATATGGAAATGAACGTAAATTTATTGAAACTGGTTTTGGGACAGGTGAGTGGCCAGCTAGGGTTTCCCAGAAACATCTGTGGGAAGGAGCTAGCGCCTGGCTGGGTGGGAACGGGTGTCAAGCCACAGACCCTATCTGAGGCCCAATTTTTTCTTTTCCTTCTGCTTCTTGCGGACCACATCCAGGTTCCGGTCTTTCCACATGCTTTTGCGAAGCTTGATGGGGCGTGAGCCCACGTACTTTCCTGTGGGGACGGAAGATTGGAGATCAAAGTTGGGAGGTCAGGATTCTGTCAGGTGTCTACCACGCTAGCCCCAGGGCAGGCCTCACCCACCATTCATCTCCCGCATGGCGCGCACATAGTCACTGGGATCCTTGAAGCTGACAAAGCCATAGCCCTTGGTTTTGCCTGTACGCTTGTCACGGATCACTTTAGCCTTAAGGAAGGATGGGAAACGGCTGAAGGCACGTGCCAAGATGTCATCATTCACCTCATTGCCCAGGTCCCCACAGAAGATCCGGAAGTCATCTGGGATTAGGAGAGAGACGAGGTCAGAGCATCTCCAGTGTTCCCATCCCGTCTGTGCCCTGGGACCCTCAGTAATAACTATCCACGTGTCAGCGACCACCTTGTGACAGGCCGCCCCAGGTCCTTTCCCACTGAGGCAGAGGTACCAACTGCTGCCTGAGCTCACACACCAAGCAGAGCTGGGACAAATTTGAGCGTCTGGCTCCAGAGTCTCTGGCACCCTTTTTTGTTTGTTTGTTTGTTTTTGTTTTTGGAGACAGTGCTGCTCTGTATTGCTTTGGAGCCTTCCTGGAACTAGCTTCGTAGACCAGGCTGGCCTCGAGCTCAGAGATCCGCCTGCTGCTGCCCCCCGAGTGCTGGGATTAAAGGCGAGCACCTTATTTCTTAAACAGGTTCTTGTTATACAGTAGCCTGATAGCCTCCCAAGTGCTGGGACTACAGATGTGAGCAACCACACCCAGCCAGAGTCTATCCCTTTACCTATCTTTCCTCGCCTACAGTGGCCATGGTCACTTACTTCTGCAATGAAGCTTCAACTCTGTCCCAGTTCTAGCCTTTCTCCTTGGTCTTCTATGGCCCTGCCACTCACCAGCCTTCTGGCACAACACCACACTCTTCCTCTGCTGGGCCGCCTCTGCGAGTCTGCTTTAATCCACACTGCCATGGGGAGACACTGCCTGCCCTGCCCCCCTCCCCCTCTCCACGGGGACCTCCACCACCGTTCTCAGGCTTATTCCCAGGGCCTGCATGACCAAGTAAACTGCAACAGGCCATGGGAAGAAGGTTGCAGAAAGGGAGGCAACAGGCGTGGGCTGGGGTGAAGGGCAGTATGCTCTGTCCTCAGTTATGGCTGAAGCTGCCCCATAGTTTCCACAGTGATTAAAGATACTATTTACAAATGAGTAGGGCTGCTCCAGAGGCTGACAACCCAGAGAGTTTTTCTAGAAAGACTTTTGACCCAGATATACAATATACAAGTCAGATGTGGTGGCAAGACCACCTTCATTAAAAAAAAAAGAAAAAAGTCTATACAAGTACCCACAAGCTGACCCCTTAGCTAAAAGGTTTTGTGGAGGGTGAAATGTGGGGTCTCACTATGTAGCCTTGGCTGGCCTTGAACACAGAGATCTGCCTGCTTCTGCCTCCGGAGTGCTGGGATCAAAGTGTGTGCCAGCACACCAGGCCAGCTAAAACATCTTGGAGGGCAGGCATTTTCGTCACTTCTTACAAGATGGACAAGGCGACAGTCCGGGCAAGGTCTGCAGGGGAGTTCACGCAAGCTGAGTTGCCACTACACCCTCCCCTGCACACCTGGCTTTATGGCCATGAAGCTGGGTCAACACAAGGATGCCGGCTGGAGTCCAGACACCTCCTCTCCCCATGCACGAAGCATGAATGACTACTCATTTCTTCTGGGTTTAGGATTTAGCTAGCAGTTAGCTTCTTTCTTTATACATACATACTTTTTTTTTTTTTTTTTTTTTTTTTGAGACAGGGTCTCACTATGTTCACTATGTATCTATGGTAGACTTGGAAGTTGCTATGTAACCAGGTTGTCCCTGAACTCACAGACATTTGGATATGGAGTACTGCTGCTATGGAACCTGCTAGAGGCCAGGCTGGTCTTGAACTCCCGAGATCTGCCTGCGTCTGGAGTGTGTCATACCTGGCCTAAGATTTTTCTTTTTCTTTCTTTCTTTCTTTCTTTCTTTCTTTCTTTCTTTCTTTCTTTTTTTTTTTTTTTTTTTTTGAGATGGTTTTCTCTACCCTGGCTGGCTTGGAACTCACTGTGGTCTTGAACTCACAGAGATCCTCCTGCCTCTGCCTCCTGAGTGCTGGGATTAAAGGTGTGTGCCATGCGTGCATGTGTCTGTGTGTGATAGGTGCGTATGTGAGTGCTGGTGTCCCTGGAGTCTACCAGAAAGTGTCAGATCCCCTAGAGCTGGGGCTGTAAGTAGGGAACTGGAACTCAGGTCCTCTGCAAAAGTAGCATACACTCTTTAACCACTGACGCAGCAGTGTCAGCTTGTTTCATTTTTTTCTGCAGTACTGGAGATGGAACTCAGGAGCTCACACATGCTAGGTGAGTACTCCATCACTGAGCTACATGCCCAGGCTCCATAGGCCAGTTTAATCAAAGAGATAAAGTAATTTTAACACTTGGAAGGTTGGCGTAAGAGGACAGTGAGTTCAAGACTGGCCTTGGCTATATAGAAGGGCTGTTCTCAATACCAAAATAAACAGTTACTGTTAGTTTCTTATCCGTGTTAATAAGTATTATGACATGAACGAGTGGCTTTCTTAGGGGTGAATACTGAAGTATTGGCTAGGGATGTTAAGCAGGTGGTGGAGCTGACTGCATGCATGGGTCCAGTCCATGGCAGTGCATAAACTGAAGAGTGCTAGCACACGCTAGCACTTCAGAAAGGAGAGTCAGAAATTCAGAACACAAGTAATGATTTCCCTTGTTTCAAACAATAAGGAATGAGGGCCATGGCTCTGTGAAGGCAGGAGTCTATGGGAGAATGACTACCTAACATGCACGGCCCTGGGACTCATCCCTAGCATATTGTATGTGTGTGCACACATACTCTCACCAAACACATGGAAATAAAGTAAATTTTAACTGTGGGAATCTAGGCAGCAAGTAGGCTATTCATTGTATCATTGTGTGCAACTGACACAGAACCCTTTGACCTTCAGCAGGCCAGGTTCCCCATGAGTAAGAGTCTGAAAACTCTAGGTACCAAACTGGACATGGTAGCTCACACCTGTAATCCCATCAGTCAGAAGACTGAGCCAGAAGGATTCAAAGTCAAACTTACCTGGGTCACAGAGAGGGAGAGAGAGAGGAGGAGAGACGGAGAGATCCCGTCTCCAAATCAAACCAAACCAAAGCCTGAGGAAACTCATGTCCACCATGTCCCGTCTGAGTGGAGTCCTGCCTTCCAGGCATCGTGGAGTCGCCCTTCTTCCCCCTCCCTGTTGGGCCCTGGAAACTTAGTACAGCCTGTTCTGGGATTGGTCCACTCACCAGCATCCCACTCCAGCAGGCTGGGGTCCTCCCAGCTGCTCCCTGCTGCTGTGCGAATGCAGCGTTTCAGTTTCTCTGGTTTGCCTTTCTTCTTGTCCTCACCCAGCGGCTCTGGGACCTGGAGGGGGCAGGGATAGGTGTTGGCAGTCTTGTGCTCTGCACCATCTCCAGCCCTGGCACCTCCCGTTCAAGTGCTAGGAATGCTGCTAGGTGTGGAATAGAGGGGCTGCCTCCCCTGGTCTACACCCAACCACTCTCTGGCTACAGGACGGTGTTCTTGTGTGGGAGCTCATGGGCTTCTGCTCTCTCCCAGCCCCTTATCCCCACCACGCATGATCTCAGCTTACCTCTAGGGCCATGAGGCCAGGAGGTGGTTCAGGCCGAGGGGGCCGGGGCCGTGGACGCAGGGACAGGAGCTCAGGGATTCGAAGTGGAGGCAGCAGGCCTCGTACCACCTCCAGTGGGAGGGGCAGGGGCTCGGGCTCAGGCAAGGGCATGGCTAGGGCCAGCGGGAGGCTGGGACCAATGACTGCAGGGCCAGCCGGGGCTCCTGCCACAGCCACTGCTGCACTGGCTTCCTCCAGCCCAGCTGCTGCGGCCACTACTGCCTCCTCCTTCTCCTTCAGGCCTAACCCAAGGCCAAGGCCCAACTCTCGAGGGGCTGTTGGCTCTTCCTGTGGGCAAAGGGAGGGTGTGAGGGGCGGGAAGCGCACAGGCTCTATCTTACTCCCCCACTGTGCACAAAGCAAGGGTCTGGGAACAAAGAGGTACAGTCAGCTGAACACAGAAAAACACAGGCAGCAAGGGAGACAGACACCCGTGACTACACACCGGGACAAAGACAGAATCAAAGGGAAACAGAAGCACATGGAAATAGTCCACAACAGCGTTTCCCTTTACGCTGGGCGCGATCCACATGCCTCTATGCTCATCACTTGGGAGGCTTGAGGCAGGAGGACTGCAAGGCCCAGGCCAGCCTGAGCTGCATAACCAAGTTCTTGTCTCCAAGGAGCAAAGCAGACAGATATTTTGGTCACCCAAATGAAACAACAGAGGTATAAAGGCCCAGAAGCAAAGCTGGGCAGAGAGACCTCAATGAATGCAGTGAGTCAGGTCTGGGAGCCCCCCCCCCCCACTGTAGCACAGTAGTCGGTCCAGTCCTCACTTACCAGGGGAGGTCTTAGAGCAGCCATAGAACCCAGAGGTGGTCCAGGGGCCCGGGCCATAGGTGGCAGCATCATGGGTGGTCCAGGAGGCCCAGGCAGAGGGGGTCCAACCAGAGCCTGGTGTGGGGGCCGCAGGGCCATAGGTCGGGGTCCACCTGCTGCAGAAGAGAGAGCAGACTCTGTCAGGGTGTTAGTGGGGGAGTCCCAGAGCTTGGGGGCAATTGCTTGGCAGGGATCACGACCCTGGCCCCTCACCTGCTCTCTGCAGCACGTGGGGGACGAAGGCTGGACGCAGGATAGGGGCCCTCTGAGGGGCCACAGCTGTGGGAGAGAGAGATGGGGGTGTCATGGGGGAAAGGGACACTTGGGGCAAGTGTTTGTGAGGGTAATCTGAGCACCCAAGAAATCCTGGAGAGGCTGGGGACCCTCCTGGGAGATGAGGTGGTTTTGCCATCGTTTTCCTCAGCAAACTGACTTTGAGGACTTCTTGTAGGCCCAAGCCTGTTGTGAACAGTGTTAGGAACTCAGCAGATCACGGGGTCCCAGGGAGCTCTGGGTCCAGGAGAGGAGGAAATCCATATACTGCCAGACAAGGGCAGCCCAGTAGCTGTCAGAGGCCACAGTGCCCTGACCCAGCCAGGGGACTGGAGGCCTCCTGGAAAAAGGGACCCATGAGCTAGAATCTCAGGGTAATTAAAAGTCAAGCAAAGAGTAAGTGGAAATAGCCAGGGAGCTTATACATTATAAGAGGAAATTTTCCCTCAAGTGTAGGTAGTTATCTCAGAGGAAATGGGGGCTTGGGAAATCCCAAGAGAAAAAGAGTGGGAGGCAGCAAAGCAGCCTCTCTGGCTGAGCCATGGGATCTTCCTGAGGGCACACAGGGTTGGGATCTGGGCATGGCTGAGCCATGGGATCTTCCTGAGGGCACACAGGGTTGGGATCTGGGCAGTGGCCAAGTGAGTTTCATTTTGATAACTTTCTAGAGAATAGACATTAATGTTCATCAGACATCAAGATCCCCCCCCCACCACCACCACCACCAAGATAGGGTTTCTTTGTGGCTTTGGAGGCTGTCCTGGATAGCTTTTACAGAGATCTGCCTGCCTGTGCCTCCCGAGTGCTGGGATTAAAGGCCATGCGCCACAACCGCCCGGCTCCAGACATCATTGGATTAAGAAAGAAAGACAGGGATAGAAAGCCATGCCAGTAACTTGTACTCAGGAGGTAAAGACAGGATTTATGTTTGATGCCAGCCTGGGCTGCACAGTAAGATCTTCTAAGAGCTAAGGGCTTGGATGTAGCTCAGTACAGACCACACCTGAGGCCCTGGGCTCACTCCCAGCACAACAGAAGCACAGCCGTATTACAACACAATCAACAGAATTTTATACCCACACCACACATTCTCACAAGTTATGTCATAAAAATCAGCAGTATGTGCTGTGTGTGTGTGTGTGTGTGTGTGTGTGTGTGTGCGCGCGCACACACACACACACCTGAATGACCCGAGTGGAAAATTTGGGGAATGGCAGGTAGACATGAAAGTGTGAAGGTTAAAGGTTCCTTGAGTTTCTCAGCCATGCTTGGAGTTTCTGAGTGTGCTGAGGGATCAGGATCAGCAAGGGGCCAGGCCTCGAAGGGTCCTGACCAGTAGTGAGTTGCCTGGCGCTAATCTGGGCAGTTTGTCATGTGGTGCTTACTATGTGACAAAAACCAAGAGTTCTGTCCTTCACAAAGCTTGCTTGTCAGAGGAAGCAAAAGGTGGTAAGCATAATAAGCAAACTTGAGAGCTTGCCAGAAGGTGCTAAAAGTTGGGGAGGCATTGTCAAGGTTTCCGATGAGGAGTGCCAGCAGAGGACTAGGATTGAGAACTGACTTGAGACAACCAGGAAGTACATGGTATCATGTACATGGTACTGATATCATCACATCAGAGAGGAATCTAAAGCAGATTCAGGCAAGGAGCCGGAGTTTCTCAACCTAAACAAGTGTGCCTGACCAAATAAATGTGGGGTCCTGGTCCCCAACCTACCTGCTCGTCTCAGGAACATGGCTTCTCGAGCCTCAGGACTGTCCAGGTGACTGCGATCAGCAGGACCAAAGCCAACTGTGGGGAGGAGAGACAAGGATGGTGGGAAGCAAGTTCTGGGTAACCCTCTTAGCACCCAGCCTGATCCAGGCCCTCACTTTGTTACTTACCTGGGCCCACAAAAGGAGGCCCTCCCACCATGGGAGGGACTACTGTGGCTGCAGCAGCTGCCCGGGCTTCCAGGGTCTGTTGGACCTATTGGGGAGAGGGAGGTCTGGCTCAGAGTTGCTAATCAGCTCCAGCTGGCTCACCCTGGCAGGTTGAGACTTTTACCCTGTGCTTTGTGGGGATGGGGATCGGTAAGGCTCTGCTCCAAGGTCACATCACTGGGGCTTCTAGAGCCATCCTAAGTAACACTATTATTATTAACATCTCCCAGGACAAATTCTCTGACTTAGCTTCCCTACAGTACTGTCTCTCATCCAAGGACCAGTCAAGTCCCTGATTCATTCCTAAAATTAGGCATGCTCAGGGCAAGACTGCGGACCCCACAGCACCATCGCAGGTAACGTTTAATTTGTCCTCCCTGTCTCCCACATCCATCTTAGATTAGCAGCCTCTTCCTGTATCTCCTTGACCTCTGCAGTCTAAAGCTACTTGCTCAATCTGTAAATTGGACCCTTATCACCCTCCTTCTTAGAATTCTCTAGTGGTTCCTCATCTCAAAAGTCAAAGCCAGCCGAGCATTGGTGGTGCACACGCCTTTAATCCCAGCACTTTGGAGGCTGAGGCAGATGGATCTCAGAGAGCTCAGGACAGCCAGAGCTGTTTCACAGGGAAACTCTATTTCAAATCCCCCTCCCCTCCAAAAAAGCTAAGCCAAGATCCTTACCGAAGCCCACAAGACCCTGTAAGATCTAGTTTCCATCTCTGTCTTAAATCTTCTCTATTTTCACTCTTGCTAATCCTTCCCTAGCCATTAACCTCCCCGTGGCTGCTTGAACGCTATGACAATTATAAACTGTCTCCGGGTCTTTGCATGGCTAGCTCTCTGCTGGGGGTAACACTACTCCAGATATCTGCATGGTTCTATCACCTTATTTGGGCTTACTAAGCCCAAAGCAAAAAGGCTTTCCCTGACTGCTAATAAAACCACCCTTCTTACCACTCTGTAGTCTCTCCCCACTAACATATAAACGCCAAAGAAGCAACAGTAGCTTTCCTGTTTTGTTTTCTCCTCTATGCTCAATGCTTAGAACAATGCAGACAAAGCACTGCTTTTGATGATTTTAGTTTTTCCTCAATCAAAGGGGCTGGACCTATGGCTTTGGCTTGCTAAGCAAGAGCTCCATCACTGCGCTGCATCCCAGCCAACCTAAACAGAGAATTAACAAGTTTCTTTTGCTCGTATTCATTTAAACAATCCTCCCTGTTTTTTTTTTTTTCTTCAATAATCATATGCAGCTATTAACCACATGGAATGTTATCAATGAGGCTTAGGAATGATTTAACAGAAGTACACATTTTACTACTGTTTTTGTGGTGGGGGTGGTGGGCTTAGAAACGAGAGCTGTGCACAGGCTACATAACTGCTACACCGCAAATCCGTGAGTTAGAAAGTTTATATAGTTCCCGCCACCGCACAAAGTTCTACCAGACAGGATGCTCAAGAGACGCTTCCAAAGGACTAAATATACTGTCTTGCACCCCAAGTTCCTGGCACATGAATTATTCGTCATGCTAATTAACTAGCCAGCCAAAATGTCAATCGCTCTCCATAGGTAAACCCTTGTTAGGATCAAAGCATTGCGTCCCCCGACTCATAAGTTGTAGCTCCCGCCTTACCTGCTGGTATGTGTTGGTGGCGATAATCGGGCGGATCACGGGAGCTGCTGGGACCTGCATGGCTTCTACCGTGGGTACCGCAGGCACAGCAGCGGGGATTCCGGTCACCGGAGCTCCCAGGACTTCTTGCTCAAACCTGAGGGAACGGGACAGACACCATAGGTCAAGTCCTCTCACCAAGGCTGGAGCGCTGGGCACATCGCGACAGCGCCTTCATCCCAGCCAAGCCTCCCCGCGCACGTCTCCAAGCCCCGAGTTCCTCGGGTCCCGCGGCCTCTTACGGAGCCGCATCTCAGGCCCTGGAAGCCCCGGGTTGAGTGGGTTTGCCCTGAAACCGCTTTTATTTCTCCACTTCTGGGCCTTACAGGGCCATCTCCGCCTCCATTTCTTTCAAGCGTTCCTCGCCGCTCTTGCCCGGGAGGCCGACACCAGGCCCCGGGACCACGGGCCCTCCCGCTACCGGGAGTCCCGGAGCCGGCCCCGCCCCTGCCATCGCTGACGCCGTCGCCTTCACCGCTCCTCTCTGCCGCCGACGCGGAGTCTACGGTCGAGCCCTTGGCTCCTCAGGGTGGGAGCCGGCCGCTGACGTATGCACCAGCGCGACGGACGCGCTGCGTGACGCCCGAGGCCCAGGAACAGGGGCCAATGAGACATGGCCACACCCCCAGGAGGCGTGCTAGCCAATCAGAGTGTCGGGATGACGGGGCCCGGGAGGGCCCTGCATCTGTCAGAGCGCGGCAGAACGGGCCGGCCACGCCCTCACGGAGAAAGGTGGGCGAATGAGAGCGAAGAACGTCAGCTAGGCCCGCCCCGCCGTGGAAGCCGGAATTTCGAAGGGGCACGGAAGTTCCCAGGCCCTTCAAGAGGCTGTAAACAACCCCAGCTTCCTCCTCTGTACGCCTGACCCAGGCGCCGGGCTCCTGACCCTCTGCCGGGCGTCACGTCCTGATTGTTGATTATTGTGTGGGACAAATTGCAACTTTACGAACTGCCTTCATGGTTTCCTTTTGGGCTTTAATTTGGTTTGGGTTTTGAGACCGGGTCTGGCTCTTGAGCCCAGGCATGGAACTAACTCACTAAGTAGCCTAGGTTGCCCTCGAACTATCAGAAATCTTCCCGCCTCAGCCTTCCAAGTACTGGAAGTGTAGGCACGGATCAAAAATTTGGCTTTTATGCTAGAGATATCTAGAGAGAATTGAAGGTTTTTGTTTGTTTTTAAATTCGGGGCTGGCCCTGAACTCAGAGATCAGCTGCTGCTGTCTCTTGACTGCTCCACCAAGCCCGCTAATATTTTCACAAGTTAAGGCTCATGCGTTACTCCACTTCCCTTTGTGTTCACCTAATGTCCCTGTTCTGTTTCACAATCTCACCGTGATGCCACATTCCGGTTCCACTTGGTTGTTGGATTTCCGTGGGCTCTTCTTCCCTGTTACAGGTTTGAGGAATGCTGGTTAGGTGTTTTGTAGTGTGTTCTTCATTTGGGATTTGATTTTTTTTCTCTCTCTCATCGTTATTCTGGTCATGGATCTTTGGAGAAAGGCCAAAGAGGGTAAAGTGGATTTCTCCTCAGAGACCAAGAATACAAACTATACACATGGTCAACACCAGTTGCTTGGATGAAGGTCATATTGAGCGTTCTCACCATAGAGTCCGTTTAAAAAGTGTTTTTCTGAGGCTGGAGAGATTGCACTGACTTCTCTCTCAGAGATCCTGAGTTCAATTCCCAGCAAACACACAGTGGATAACAACCATCTGTAATGAAATCTGCAGCCCTCTTCTGACATGTAGTCATACATGCAGACAGAATACTTTATACATAATAAACAAGTATTTTTTTTTATGTGCTTTTCTGTACTCTAGAAGAAAGACACCATCAAGTATCTTTTTGATACAGTCTCTATACAGCTCAGGTTAGCATTCTCTTGTCTTTTGTTCCAGCCCCCTCAATTCAGGGACTATGTGTGCCATTATGTGTGACTTTGCTACCCGTCCTTGAAAGAATACATACGTAAATAATTAGAAATACTGTGAGTGGGAGATTTCTCTATTGCTACCCATTCAATCATTTATGTCATGAAAATTATGCCTTAGGTCATTATTTTAATTTTTTTTTGTTTGTTTGTTTGGAGACCTCTTGCTGCGTCGTTCTGGCTGGGCTGGAACTCACCATGCTGACCTCAACTCCCAGCAGTCCTCCAGCCCCTGTCTTTGAGTGCTGGGATCACAGGTAAAGACCACAGGTGTGGAACCCAGCCTCAGATGGTGATGGGAAGGCCGGCATACTTCGTAGCTGCACTGTAATCCACTGCATCTGGTTATACCCTTCAGAAGCTCATGATGCTAGGATGGCCTTGGTGATGCCAATATCTGCCCCGTCATTTAAAAAAGACTGGGCATAGTCTTAAATAGAGTTATGTGCTACTTTTTAAAAGGGGTGTGTGGGGGTGGAGTCTCACTGTGTAGCCCAAACAAACCCAACATCTGTTGTCTCCGCCTTCCCAATGATGGACCACAGGTGAACCACATCACTGGGTAGTTTTTCTTTGAATCGTGAGAGCGCCTTATGTTGGCTCTAGAATCCTCACTGTCCAGTTGTACTGAAGGACTTCCTCCTTGCTTTCAAAATGATTCCTATACTTTTTGCATGCTTCTTTCCCCAGGCCCATGATCAGTCATTTCCCCAGGATTCCTGGCCCCTTGTAGTCAGAAATGGCACCTTGAAACCACAGTCTGCACACAGGATTGTTCATGTTTTTTTTTTTTTTTTTTGAGACAAGTGTTTCTCCAGCTGTGGCTGTCCCAGAAGTCACTGGAACTCCAGAGAGACCTGCCTGCCTCTGCCTGCGATTAAAGGTGTATGCCACTACTACCCGCTCCTATGTTGTCATTTTATTTACAATGAATGTTTCAGGGAAATCAAGTTGTATTTCTAATGTAAATACAATATTCTAGGGTATTTACATTGTCTCCTTTTTGAAGAATTTGCATACTACAGCATACGTGGTGGACAGAAGAGAACTTGCGGAGTTGATTGATCTCTCCTCCACCACGTAGTTAGGTCCCCGGATTGAACTCAGGTCATCAGGTTTGGTGGCCGGTGTCCTTACCCAGTGAGTCATCTTACTTACCCCCCCCCCCAAGTTGAGTATTATTGAGATATGTATAAAATAGGACAATACCAGATCATTTTTCTCAGAGAAACTACAAATAGCTCAGATTTAAGCATAAAAAAAGAAAGAAAAACTGTACAAACCATAAAACCTGTGTTGGAGTCTGAATCTGAAGTGGCCCATATGGGTTCATGTGTAAACATTAAGTCCCCAAACATTGGTGCAGTCTTGTGAGGGGATATGGGTCTACGAGTGGGTCTACTCAATACTCTGTCTCCAGATCCATCATGATATGAACATGCAACTCCTTTAGCTCCCAGAGTTACTTCAGCTGTCATGCCTTCCGTAGCAGGATGCACGGCAGCCTCGAAATGAACAAAAGAAACCTCTCTCGTGTTGTCCCCACACATTAGTCACATCATTTAGAGAAGGAATTGAGACAATGTGGAGTACAAACACCACCAGGATGGTGGAGGGACATTGCGCTACGACACCCACCTGCGGCTTTCCCGATCACCCTCCCAGCAAGGCTCCACCCTGGAAATCTCCAACACCCTTAGTCTACATAATGTCTCCATGCCGGTTAGGTTCCGCCGTACCATACTGTCATCCACCTTGCCAGCTGGCTAGCAACCCCCCCCCCACCACACCAGGCCACTGGGCTTTGGAGGAGAGGGAAACAGCCACTCTAAGGTGTAAGGTTCAAAGTACCCGCTTTCTCTTGGCTTTAGTGGGAAGGGCATGGACTGGAAGGAGCCACAGAATGGCAGCCGGAGGGGAACTGAAGGCCTGTTCCAAGACAAAGCTGACTAAGGCAGCCAATACTTTCTTTCAAATGCTTTATTGAGGGAGGTGAGTTTGGGGGTTAAATACGATTTATTTTTGAAATGGGATCTTATGCTCTGCAGCCTAGGCGGTCTTGGAACTTGCTGTGTATCCCAGGCTGGCTTGGAAATGCACAGCAATCCTCCTCCTCAGCCTCCTGAGTAGAGACCACCACCGGGCTAAGTTGCGATTCTCCACGCTGCTCCTAGCCGCCTCTTCATCCGTACGGCTGCTGCAGTGCTCCGCAGGCCTGGGCCCAGCGGAGCTGCCACTGGGGCAGGGACAGGCCCTGGCAGAGCTCCCCAGAGAGGGTGGCTTGGCCTGGCTGCTCCCACCTGGGGAAGGGTACGGTGTTGAGGGAAGCCCCATCCTCCAGACTCTCCCATCATGGTAGCTCAAGCTGTGAGCCAGTCAGATCTCCCGTGCTTCAAGGCCCCATCTCACCAGTCCTCAACCAGCTGCTGCAGCTCCGGGATCCGCTCCAGTGCCTGCTTCAACAGGTCCTCCAGCTTCTTCAGGGTCTGCCCCATGTCCTCTTTCTGCTCCTTTTCTTGGGACGCCTTGATCTGCAGCAGCTCTGGAGGTGACAGTGGAGAGGCAGCGTGGGTCTTAAGACGGAACAGAGCTTCATGCCCTAACTCCAGAATGCCACCTTTAAAGGCTTCGATTCAGCCTGCACTTCCCTGCCTTCTGTCTACCTTGTGGACCAGCAGTCTCTGCCACACACGCGCGCAGCTGCTTCGGTTTCCGTCTCCTCTCTATGGCCTCTTCCCAGGCTCCAGGACTTACTCTTCCATTGTATTCACCCTCCATGTTAGCCAGGAGCTGCTTCCCAACGTTCTCCCTCTCCTGCTCAGAAGCCTGCCTCCCAGGCTCCCCAGTTTCCCACCCCAGGCAGAGTCCGGCCTCCTCAGTATAGTTTGTGACAGTTTGCATTATGTGGTTTCTATTCCCTTCTGGGGAAAATCTGACCTAACCCTAGGACCCACATGAGACACCATACTTTTTGTTTCTTCTTTCTTTCTCTATGTGGCCCTGGCTGTCCTGGAACTCCATAAGTAGACCAGGCTGGCCTCGAACTCTGAGCACAAGGATTAAAGATGTGCGCCACCACACCTAGCCCCCTTATTTTCTTTTGAGGCAAGGTCTAATGTAGTACAGGCTAGCCTCAAGCTTGCTATATAGCTAAGGATGATGTTGAGCCTTCTGACCCTCTTGCCATTAAAACCTCCTGAGTACTGGGACAGGTGTGTGCAAGCCTCTGTGTGTGTGTGTGTGTGTGTGTGTGTGTGTGTGTGTGTGTGCGCGTGCACATGCATGCGCACACATTTTAGGATCATTTATGAGTTTTGCCTGCACGTGTGTATATGCATCACATGTGTGCCCGATGCTCAAAGACGTCACAGGATGGCAGCAAGTCCCCTGGAACTGGAGTTACAGATGGTTGTGAGCTGCTATGTGGATGCTGGAGACTGCACCAGGCCCTCCATAAGGACCAGTGCTCTTGCCTCTGAGCCATCTCTCTAGCCACTTCCCTTCCTTTAGAGACAGGTCTTCACTAATGTAGGCCTGGCTGGCTTGGAACTCATTACGCAGACCACAGTCTCACAGAGACCCACCTGTCTCTGCCTTCCGAGTACTGGGATTAAAGGTGTGCACCACCATTCCCAACCACCATGCCGACTTTACAGAGTGCTGGTTATGGGCTGTATGCATGCTAGGCGAGCAGTCTACTCCCTGAGCGCTATCTTCAGCTCGCCATCTTTCCCTCTGGGAAACATCCTTCACCATTTAGCATCCCTCGCCCCAGGGCCCCTTCACCCTGCTCCAATCTTTCACTCTTGCAGATGGGTCTAGACCCTCTCCACATAACCAGAACAGAACTCCACTGAAACCACTGCAGAAAGCATCATGCCCTCCACCATGACTCTTACACGTTCTTCAGCTAGGCCTGCTGTCTCTGGGAATTCCGAGCTGTGGGCTAGTGTGGTGGGGGCTGATACAGAAGCCTGGGGTTGGGACTCTGAGGGCTTGCTGATGAGCTGACATGGGGGGGTAGGGAGCCATGAGAACTAAGCCTGATTTCTGCCACATGACGAGGGCAGGGTCAATTAGAGAGGGGAGAAGGCCGGGGACAAAGGGAACACAGTTATTCTTTAGAGTAGAGGGACCTAAGAGTTGTTACTAATCAAGGATATTAAGAGTTCAAGATAACCATGAGACCAAAGATGGTGGTGTAAGGCCATCATGCCAGCATTTGGGCAGCTGAGGAAACAAATTGCTTTTCTGAGGCCAGCTTAGGCTACTTAGCCAGACCCTGTCTTTAGAAACAACAACAAAACAACAGAATACACTCTGGGCCGTCAGGCTCAGAAGGTAAAGGTGTTTGCTGCCAAGCCTGACTACCTGAACTTGAATTTGGCACCTGGGACCAGACTCCAACGAGTTGCCCTCTGACCTTCATAAATATGGTGTGGTACATGCGCATGAGCACACGCATACACACACACATACACACACAGGAACATTCTGATGGCAATGTGCATGAACACACACACACACACCCACAAACAAAGGAACATTCTAATGGCAATGAGAAAGTACTTGGAAAATGGATAGGTTGTCTAGCTGTATAGTTAGGTCCACATCTGACTACCTGGGTTCATATCTAAGCTCTTGCTGGGAGCGATGGTGCAGGCCTTGGGAGGAAGAGGCAAGAGGATCTCAAGCTTGAAAGCCACCCTAGGCTACACAGTGAGACACATACTGAAAACATAATAAAAGCAAACCAAACAACCTCCATTCTACCACGAGGCCAGGCGACTAAGCCTTGTGCAGCTGAGCCTCCTGCTCTCTAAGTGGGGAGAATGGCAGTGCAGAGCCAAGAGCTTCCTGAAGCAAGTGTGTCCCAGCACACTGTGGGGGTGGGTTCTTAGCATTCAGGAAGCCCGTGGCGGTACAAACGGGAAGGGATGCCGGGTGAAAAGTCAACGTACTCTGGGCAGATGGCTCCTGAGGCAGACTGGTCTTCACGTGGAGATTCCCTCTTTGGAGATCCCTCTGGTCTTGGAGAAACAGAAGGTCTTGGCGGAGAGAGGCAGCCTTTGGAAGTAGTAGCTCGGGTGCCTGGGGGCAGGGGGAAAGGATGTTGATCTTGGCCAGACAGTCGGGACTGGGATGGGCAGAGGGACCACAGGGTATGGGCACATACTTTCCCTACAGGCAGCCCCAGTGTACGGCTCAGTGAGATGAGGCCGGAACTCCTTGGGGTAGTGGGGTGCAGCTGCTGGATGGATGGAAGGATCCTGGATGGCGGCTTCGGCCTGGGGGAGGGGGTAGCAATAGAGCACTAAGTAGCTGGATTTCCAGAAGCTCTGGGGTGGGGTGGGGGGTAGGGACTTGGAGGTGGGCCTAAGGACTGGGAGCCCAGATTGAAGCTGATGATAGGGGATGAGATTTGACAGTCTGGGGACCCTGGGTGCATGTGTGTGGAGGCCCGAGGTGGATTCAGATGTCTTCCTGATCCCCTTTATTTTCCAGGAGTGGCTGTGCTCTACCTGAACCCAGCTCCGGAGTTACAGGGTTGAGTGGTTTCACAGGGAGACAGGGCTAGCTCCAGGCTCACCCTTTGGCATGGGACCACAGCAGGGGGCCCGGCTGGATGTGGGGCAGGCATTGGGCTTCTTTCTTCAAGCAGTGGAGCAGCTCCTGGCTCTGTGGCGTCACTGCCTCTAAGGTGGGAACCACCTTTCGCTGCACCAGGGCCAGCACCTGTGGGATGGAGGGGTGGGTGGGGTGGCCTGGGTGGCCCTCTCTAGCCAACCCTTGCTCATCACTCATGGTCTTACCTCCTCTGGGCCCCGGCTCAGGCAGGTCTTCCTGACTGAATTATCCTTGATGAGCAGGCGGATCTGTTCCTGGGTCTCCTCCTGGAGAATCAGCAGGCCCATGCCACTAGCTTCCTGTCCTTCCCACCACCCAGAGCTGCCCACCCTTCTTACAGGGTCTCTTCTTCATGGGGGTCTCACCTTGGGCCCCCTCCCCACATAGTGGCCTAGTTCACGTGTTTGCTCTTTCCTCCCCTCCCTACCCCTTACAATTTTACTTTATGTGTATGGGTGTTTTGCCTGTATGGATGTCTATGAACCACATGCATAATACCCCCGAGAACAAAAGAGGACATCGGATCCCCTGGAATTGAAGTCCTAACAAGCTGCCATGTAGGTGCTGGGAGTTGAACCCAGGTTGTCTGGAAGAACATACAGTATTATTATTATTATTATTATTGTTGTTGTTGTCGTTGTTTGTTTTTGAGAGAGGGTTTTTCTATTGCTTTGGAGCCTGTCCTGGAACTTGCTCTGTAGACCAGGCTGGCCTCCAACTCACAGACATCCACCTGCCTCTGCCTCGGGAGTGCTGGGATTAAAGGGGTGGGCCACTAACACCTGGCCAGTATTATTTTTTTCAAGTCAGTTGTCTTTGTGTACCTAGAAGTAGCTCTGTAGACCCGGCTGTCCTCAAACTCACAGAGACCCATCTGCCTCTGCCCCTGGGTTGTTAGGATTAAAGGCGTGTGCCACCGCTATCCAGTGCAGCCATTACTCTTAATGCTGAGCCATCTTCTCCAGCCCTGGAGGCACAGTTCTTCATCTCTAGGCCTGGCATCCCTACTCTGTCCCTCCCGAAGGCCTAGAGTCTCACCACCAGCTGCCGCCACCGCAGGATCCGCTGCTGCTTGGCCTGCAGCTCTCGAAGCAGAAGCTGCCGGTGCCCAACCGCATTCTCCAGTTCCTGGCTCTGGGCATGAAGAGACTTGAGCTCTGCCCGGTGGCCGCTGCACCTAAGCCCCAGCAGCAGGACTTTCCTAGAGGGAATGGAGGGAGCCAAAAGAGCAGAGACTGGCAGCCACACTGGGGAGAGGAGACCTTCAGGGAGGCACGAGGAACCCCAAACACGGGAAACAAGCACCAGGAGAGGAAGGCGGGCAGCCCCAGAGTAGACAACAGGAGGAACCCCCCACCTCTCGGGAGAGGGCCTCTGCTGATGGCGGCTGTTACCTCTCACTGGATTCCGGAGCGTGTCTCTCCACCTCCTCCACCAGGCTCAGGAGGCGTTCAGTCAGGACTCGCCGCTCATCCAGGAGCGTACTCCTCTGGGTAAGCAGTGCACCTACCGCCCGCCAGCCCTCCTGGGGGCACAAGGTCTGTGTGGGCATGGCCGGTCCATGGGGAGAGGGGTTCAGTGGGTCTTAGAAAAGTGTCTCAGGGTTACCTGGATCAGATGAACAGTGGGTGGCAGGGCCTGGCTTGAGTTCCACGGGTGCGGTGCCTGGGGCCTGGGGCGGGGACAGAACAGCTGAGGAACAGCCCTCTACTTTTGTGGCGATGAGTGTGGGTCGTCCGTTATCAGCCTTCCCCTCCCCTGCTGTTGGCTGCCATTCAATCCCAGCCCATTTGCAGGACGCTGCCTGCCCCTGGCTATAGGAACATTTATTGCACACCTGGATATCACCTCTTCCAGTCCATCCCCACTACACAGGGACCGGATCTCCGCCTCCCGTTCTGCAGCCAGGTACTTCAAGGCAGCCAGGATGTGGCCTGCAGGGTGGTTTGTCAGCAGTGTCTGGTAGGGACAAGTGGGAAATCAGGCCAGGATGGTGACGCAAGGATGTGAGGCGGCTCTCCAGAGAAATGACGTATGGCTAGATGGTTAGGGGCTGGCAACTGAAGTTTCGTCACGGAGCAGGAGGAGGCACTCTTTCCTGTCAGCACTGTCCTCTCACCTCAACTGAGCTCAGCCACTGGTGATAGGAATTTCCGAAGTGGTCATCATCACGAGGGCTTCTGTGGATTTGGGTAAGGGGACAAAGAATGCTGTGGGACCCATTACCCTCTAATTATCGCCAGTACACGTACGTAGGCGCTTTCATTGTCCCGACTGTACAGGCAAGGACTCCGAGCCCAAATATGTTTACTAGACTTGAGTTCACCAATTGCAAGTCCTGTTGAGTCCGTGACCCTTCCTCCTACTTAAGTCTCCTCACCAGAGCCCCCACCCGGGGAAGGGCCTAGAGCCTCTGGCCTCCCCCACCCCAAACACAGTCCTGAGCCTGGGAATACTCACAGGATGCTGCCTCCCCTGGCCTGGGGCATGAGAAGGTTCTGCAGGAACTGAGTCCGGAGGGAACAGGCTGTCTGCACGTCACGCTAGGGGGAGGAGGATGGGTACTAGTGGGATCCAGGCCTCTGCCCTGTCCCTGACACCTCACAGCTCCCGCGCCGCCCGGGACTCTCACCAACACCTCAGGCTCTACCGCAGCCGCTGCTGACACCAGAGGCCCAAAGGCCACGTCCACCTTGGCTTTTCTGCAAGGAAGAGTAACTAGGATGGGGTCCCAGGGAGAGCAGATGCCTGTGCCCCCCCCCCCCACTGGCTCTCACGGGCCGTCTCTCAGATTAGGCTACTGTTATCTCCTACTCCAGCTCCCTCATTGGCCTATCTGTTCCTGTCCCCTCTGCTCTGACCTTAGTGGCCAGCAACCCTACTAGAATCTGGGTAAGGTCAGGCCCAGTGGCTCATGCTTGAGGTCCTTCTAGCTGTGGTTCTCAACCTTGGACCCTTTAATACAGTTCCTCAGGTTGTGGTGACCCCCAAGCATTCGATTACTTTCCTTAAAATTTTATTTATTTATTTATTTATTTATTTTGGTTTTTCGAGACAGGGTTTCTCTGTAGTTTTGGAGCCTGTCCTGGAACAAGCTCTGTAGACCGGGGTCTGTAACCCCAGCTCCAGAGGGTCTCATATGCCCTCAGGGTTCCAGGGGCAACTGTGCGCATGTAGTGCTCATACACTGACAAGCAGACACATACACATACGTGGAAATAAATAAATCTTTAAACGAACAAGCGACCGGGCAAAGGTTGGGTGTGGTGGTGCACACCTTGGATCCCAGCACTTGGGGAGACAGTGGCAAATGGATCATTGTCACTTTTCGGGCAGCCTGGTCTACATAAACCCTGTCTAAAAAAAACAAAACAAAGGGTAAGGGATGTAGCTCGGCAGTAAAGAACTTGTTTAGTACACGTGAGGTCTGAGGTTTAATGCCGGGCATCACTAAGAAAACAGCTAGGTGGGAGGGAGATGGCCCAGAGGTTAAGAGCACTGGCTGCTCCTTCCAGACCCTGGGTTCGATTCCCAGCCCCCATATGGCAGCTTTCAGTTCCACAGAAGCCAGTGCGCTCTTTTAGCTTCTGAGGGCAGCAGGCATACACACAGCGCACAGACATGCATGCTGGCAAAGCACCCACACACAGAAAATAAAAAACACCCCCGTGAGACCTAAGGAGTGTCATAGCACTATTCCAAACCTTCCCCAACATGACACTTTCCTGTCACACTCAGAACAGTTGGCAGACATCTGAGCATTTTCCATGATTCAGACTCATCCAATCCTTTTTTTTTTTTTTTGGTTTTTTTGAGGCTGTCCTGGAACTAGCTCTTGTAGACCAGGCCGGTCTCGAACTCACAGAGATCCACCTGCCTCTGCCTCCCGAGTGCTGGGACTAAAGACGTGCGCCACGACCTCCCGGCTAAGACTCACCCAATTCTTACACTAACTAGAGAGGTTGAGCAATAGCACCCTTCCATAAATCTTAGAGACCCAGGTGCCCACGACCCGATGACAGCTGGAAGTTCAATTCTGGAAGCAGAGAGGGAGTAGGCAGGGTCCCTGGGGAGGCTGAGTCCCACCTTTGCATGTCCTGCAGACGCCTGAGCTGATTCTGTAGTCTCTGCATGGGATCTTGCAGCCCATGTTGCTGTCTTTGCACAGCCCTGGCTTTGGCCTGGAGGAGACATGTTCGATGCTGGGTTTCTTTCAGGCTCTGCAGTGTGTGCGCCATGGTCACATCTGTGGGAAGAACAGGGGTGGGGTCAGCACCTCCCTCATCCAGGGTTTCACTGCCCATTTGCCTAGCCCCATGAGTCACCCTGGGCCTCAGTCTCTTGATCCATCAGCTCCAGGCTCTGGTCTAGCCCTTGGCTCTCTGCACGCAGGCGGGCCACAGTGGCTTCCAGCTCCAACTTCCGACGGACCTGATGGGATCAGGTACAGGGTCAGAGATGGTCAGACTTATTGGGCTTAGCCTGGCTGGGTTACCTTCTGGGTGGCGCTAGGCTCCTCATCTCCTGGGAGATGGATGGCACAGAGGTACTAAGAGTCTATCTGGCTCTCTCCCTCCTGGGATTACCTCACCTCACCATCTTCTTGGTTTTCTGTGTGATGACTCCTCTATCTCTGTCAAAGGCTTTTTCTTATCGAGACAGGGTTTTGCTGTGTAACTAGCTCAGCCTGGCCTTAAACTCATAGTCCTCCTGCTTCAGTCTCCAAGTGCTGGGATAAAAGGCAAGTACCACCGTTGTAATTTAAGAAAAGTGGCTCTCGAAAGAAAGACGCCATATGTCAGGGTTCAAGCAGAGGTAGGGAGAGGGATCATAAAAAGGGGAAAGGAATAGGGGCGATCAGCCTCAGGAGACAGGAAAGGGGAGAGAGGAAGGGGGGAGGGGAAAAGAGAGTGAGAGAGAGAAGGATAGGAGGTAGGCAGGGCCCTTTAAAAAGGGACCAGTGAATATGCTCTTAGTGGCTGCAGCTGAGGGCATATCCTGTCAGAACCCCAAGGACAGGCCAGTACAGATGGCTGAATACTAACAACCACCACACCCATCTTCTGTCTTAGACTTTAAAAAATTGTGTGTGTATGTATCTCAGTGGAGGCTAGGTCTTGAATCCCCTAGTGCTGAAAACACAATTGGTTGTTAGCCACCTGCTCTGGCTACTGGGATCTGAACTGGGGCCCTCTTTAAGAGAAGCAAGTGCCATTCATTGTTGAATCATCTCCCTGATGCCTTCCTTCTGGTCTTGACTTCTTTTTTGTGTCCCTTAGCAGCTCCCAAACCCATCCTTCCCCCATTGTTGTTTTCATTAAGTTTAGTAGCTGCCCCTTAAGCAACTGCTGTCCTAATCAGCAGTCACAACTCCTTAGCTATCAGCCGTGGCTCTGCTGCACTGGCCGTAGCTCCCTATATTACCCAGCTTGTGCCTGCCCCCCCCCCCCACCGCCCCCCGGATTACGACCACTGGAAGGATCTGGGCTGCTTTGTGACACAGTGTCCCTGACACCCAGCACCTCTAGGGCCTAGTGCAAAATATTTGCAGGCTCTTTCGTGGTGGAAAGAGAATCTTACGGCACAGGCTTCTCACCTTTGAGTTGTCCTGGTGGCCATACCTAAAGAAATGAGACCAGAGTGAGGAGATGGCTCCAGAGCAGAGGGCAGGAAGTCGAGGTTGTGGATGAGGGCATGGCTAGACAGACTTAGGGAAGACAGCGAGGGATGGCATTAAGAAACAGTTACCAGAGGAGGTTTCCCCGGATTGTCTTGATACTCCTGCATTGGAAAGACAGAAGGCAAAGACTGCTGAGGCCCTTGCCTATGGCTCTCCCCCTCCCTAGCCGTCCCTCCCTGCACCAGCTTGGTTTACCTTTGACTATGCACATGCTGCACAATGTAGGCCCAGATGTCAGCCCCCTGACCCAGACACAGCCTGAAGAGATACAGCATAAGGTATGCTTGGGGCATCGCCCAGGAGGAGGACCCTCCACCATTCCCACATTTATGGCGGTGGGAATTTCCGAGAGTTCCCACTTCTGGGAAGAGGGACCAGTGCTCCTGGGGGCAGGGGGTGTCGATGAGAGAGTGTGAGGGTATTCTCATTCCACAATGCAATTCTTTCTTCTAGGAGAGGGTTAGCTGTAGAGGTGGATGCTGAAGTCTCCACCCAGAAATGATCTTTCATAACAGGCTCATTGTTCCTACACATCTGGTACCCAACCGGAGGCAGAGGTGAGGTGCGGCACGGACCGCCTTACTCTGCAGGTCCTATTTTCACAGTGTGGGTAGAGAGGGACTTCATTAGCTCTTGGACTACGATCACAGGCGTCAGGGATCCTGCCTTACGCGGCCTCCCAAGAATCGCCACCTGCGCTCCCAATTTTTTTTTTTTTTTTTTTTTTTTTTGAGAGACCACTGTGAGTGGGGAGCCGAGGGCTGGGGCGGGGGTTGTCGCATCCTCGATGAGGGCTGGGGAATCTCCTGGAGGCTAATCCCAGGATGGGGAGTCCTTACTCCAGGAGCGGCCTCACCTGCGCAGCGTCGCCTCCCCGGGGAGGGCCGCTTGGGGCACCTCCATCTCTTCTGCAGCCCAGCGACTAAGTTCCCGCACTTTCTGCGTTAGATCCATGGCTGTCAAAGAGCTCAGCTGCAGTCGCGGCTTCCCGCACTTTCATATGTGGCGCCCACCTCTGACGTCACGAGCGCGACGCCGAACGTCATCGGCCGCCGAGCCGACTGCCGGTTCCTGCTTCTAGCAAGGCGGCTGTTTATGGACTCTTCCATCTGCAGGGCCGGACAGAAGAGGGCGTCAGATTCCCAGAAGTAGGAGTTACAGATGGTTGTGAGCTGCCATGTGCGGGGAGATTCTCTTAAAGAGGAGCCAGTGTTCTTAACAGCTGAGCCATTTCCCCAGCCCCAAATAATTTGTTTTCTTGAGAAAGGGTCTATGTACACCAGGCTGGGTGTGATCTTTCTGCCTCAGCCTCCCAAATTCTAGGATGACAGGCGTGAGCTACTGATGCTTGGTGTGGTGGCATATCAATTTAAGATGTGTTAATTTGGTTAGGATGTGGAATATTTGTTCAGTAAAGATGTGTTGCATTCTTTTATGTTACATTTGTTTAACTCTGTGACGCTGTGTTACTTTGCCTGTTTCAAACACCTGATTGGTCTAATAAAGAGCTGAACAGCCGATAGTGAGGCAGGCGAGAGAAATAGACAGGGCTGCCAGGCAGAGAGAATAAACAGGAGGAGAAATCTAGGCTGCAGAGAACAGGAGGAGCAAGGAGTGAGAAGAGGAGGAGGATGCCAGGGGCCAGCCAACCACTGAGCCACCCAGCCACTCAGCCATTCAGCCACCCAGCCACTGAGCCACCCAGCCAGCCAGCCACCCAGCCATTCAGCCACCCAGCCATTCAGCCAGCCAGCCACCCAGCCATTCAGCCACTCAGCCATTCAGCCAGCCAGCCACTAAGCCACCCAGCCATTCAGCCATCCAGCCATTCATCCACCCAGCCATTCAGCCACCCAGCCACTCAGCCACCCAGCCACTCAGCCAGCCACAGAATAAGAAGGAAATAAAGATGTATAGAATAAAGATAAAATTTGCAGAGGCAAAACATAGTTAAAGAGAAACAGGATAAGTTTAAAAAGCTGGTTAGAGCTGGGCAGTGGTGACGCATGCCTTTAGTCCCAGCACTCGGGAGACAGAGGCAGGCAGATCTCTGAGTTTGAGGCCAGCCTGGTCTACAAGGGCTAGTTCCAGGGCAGTTTCCAAAACTACAGAGAAACCCTGTCTCGAAAACCCAACAATACAACCCAACACAAAACAAAACAAAAACAACAACACCAAAAAAGCAAAGCTGGCTAGAAACAAGCCAATAAGGACATTCATAAGTAAGAATAAGTCTCCATGTATTTATTTGGTAGGTGGGAGGCAGACCCCCCCCCCACGAGGAAAAAAAAACCCAATCAATCAAACTAACTACAGTTTGGCTTCAAAAAACAGTGTCTCATGTCCGAATGGAGAATAAAAGGTAGAAAGCTTGGCCCGTATATCTTCTTGGTATGCAGTCTTCTGGGAAGGCTGGCCTGGAACTCACAGAGATCCACCTGTCTCTGCCTCTCCAGGGCTGGGATTAAAGGCATGGGCCACCACTGCCCAGCTACTTGAAAATTCTTTCAGTGTATTATTGATGTGTGTTATGTGCCCGTGTACATATACTACAATGCACCCATGGATGTCAAAGGATGGCTTGTAGACTCAGGTCTTGCCTTCCACATTTCCATGGGTCCCGGGATTAACTCTTGTTAGGCTTGCATAGCAAAGCTCCTTTACTCATTAATGGGCCCAGCTTGTTTGCTCCCCCAGAGTCTACTCTTTGTCATTTACAAAGCTGACCGTGCTCCATGATTCTGGTGACACCATGGTGACAGAGATGGGCTCAGTCCTCATTGTGGAGGGCTGGCAATTCAGTGGGGGAGAAAGTGTTTCTTGGGGTGGGGAATGTTAAAAAAATAAGCAGTAGTGCTGAGTCATATTGGGATAGAGAGAGGTCTGCAGGTGCCTTGAGATGTTGTGGACTGTGTAAAGGAGTGTTACATTGTTTCCGCTGCTTTTGTTAATGATGCAAAGACATGTTACATTTGTTTGATTACATTAAGCTGGAGTCAAGAGGCTAGTTGCTGACAGGAAGTGGTAGGGAGGACCTAAGTGTAGCTAGGTTTCTTTAGTGTGGCCTGAGCAGAAGGACGTTTCCCCCTCCCCCATCCCCACCCCTGAAAGACATGAACAAGGAGAAGGTTAGCTATTTGCTATTCAGCCTCTCTGAGCTAGAAGGATTTCACCTCAACCTTTGAATCCTGAGTTCTGTGGCAGGACAGGGATTTTGATAAAGTTGCCTTTAGCAGTCTGGTAGAGCCGGTGGTGCCTGAGGAAGCAATTCCCATTGACGGCGGCCCTTGCAAGAGAACCATGCTGGTAGTTGCAATCGCCCACTGGAACAGCAGTGGCTTAAGGGGTAGCCACTGTACAGAAAGAAAAACATTGGGAAGTATGAGTTCTGGAGCGCCCCACAGCTTAGGACAGATCTGGTGTGTTGCAGGAGTGAGTGTGAGGCCCAGAGCAGAGGGACAATCAGTCTCAGGTAAGATTCTGAAAGATGGCAACTTTTAGAGACCTTCTATTGGAGTCTTCTGGTCCCACTGTCCAGGATGGAGTGTTTGTTTCTTTCATTTATCTTTTAATGCACCCAAATATGAGCGTGCTGCACACCTGTCCGTTGCACACCTCTGGCGTGTCCTGGTGAGCACCTGCATGTGTGTTGATGTAGCAGCCGGGGGGGGGGGGGAGGTGGCAGGCATCTCTCTCTCTTACTTCCTTAGAACAGGGTCTTTAGCTAAGCGTTTGGATCTAAGCTGTAGCTACCCTCTGTAAGGAGTATGGTTTTTCCACCTGCCGCCACTGGTCTTGTCCCGCCGCCGTGCCAGCCCCAATTAACACACAGAGACTCTGTATTTGATATAATCCTGTTGGCCAGTTCCTAGTTTCTTATCGGCTAGCTCTATCTTAATTATTAACCCATTTCTATGTATTTCCACATGGTCTTACCAGCGAAAGGCGGCTGGCAGTTCTATTCTCTCCAGACTCCCCATCTTGGCTCCTCTTTCCTCCTTGTCTCCTAGTCCCGCCTATCTTGCTTTCCTATTGGCCAACAGTGCTTTATTCATTAAACCAGTATGAGAAACATATACAGAATGACATCTCCCATCAACCCTCTGTCTTGGCCCTCCCTCCACTCCTGCACTTAAGCATTGGAGTTGCAGGCATGCACAGCCACAGGTTTTCCTTGCTGGGACCCAAATCCAGGTCCTGGTGTGAGCACACTGCACACTTTTACGATTGACTGAACCATCATCCTTCAGCCCGTTTCTTCTTGCTTTGTTTTGTTTTAAGACACAGTTTCACTATGTAGTCTTGGCTGGACAGCAGAGCCCTGCCTCAGTTATTCGAGACAGGGTTTCTCTGTGACTTTGGAGCCTGTCCTGGAACTCGCTCTGTAGACCAGGCTGGCCTCAAACTCACAGAGATCCACCCGCCTCTGCCTCCCGAGTGCTGGGATGAAAGTCGTGCGCCACCACCTCTGCCTGGCTCAGTTAGGGTTGCTATTGCTATGATCACCACAACCACATCAACGCATACAAAGGACAAGGCTGCACTGGGGTGGCTCGATTATAGTTCAGTTCATTCTCATCATGGTGGAACATGATGCTGAAGAAGTAGCTGAGAGTCCTACATCTTGCAGGAAATAAAATGTGGTCTGTCTCACTGGGAGTAGCTTGCCTCTGCCTCCCAAGTGCTGGATTACAGGAGAAGATTACTTTTACCTTGTTAGATTTTGAATCTTTTTATTTCTATAAATATTCTTGAGCTTTTTGCTGGAGTACAGTTCAGCCTGAGCCCTCCAGACCTTGTCGCTATTCCTTTCCAGTCAGCAGTATTATTTAGTTATTATTATTCTTATTATTACTACTACTATCATTTAGTCAAGGGCTAATCTTACCCAGCCTTCTGTTAAGTTTCAAACCCAGGACAAATAGCTGAGGACCCTAGTTAGCATAAATTAGACCTGGCCTTCAGGTTCTCCCAGCATCCCTCAGTCTCTAGCTGTCACAGGTTATGGCTGGCACACCCCACCCTCCACTCTAACTCTACAGGCCAGGGGCTGCCCTTTCCCCAGAGGCTCTTCCCTATGAAATCCAGACATTTTAGTCACCTGCTCCATGAGTTCAAGGCCAGTCTGGTCTATAGAGAGAGTTCCAGGGCTACACAGAGAAACTCTGTCTTGAAAAACAAAACAAAACAAACAAACAAACAAAAAGTGACCCAGGGCCCTTGAGCTAACTCAGGGGGGAAAGGCCTTATTTTCCTGACAATTTAATTTGCAATCAAAGGGGGGGGGGGAAGACAGCTACAAGATCACTACCTGTTGGTCACACGTCCTGCTAGTCTGGTCCAGGACCAGAGCTCCATTTGGTGTCCTGATGCCAGCATCCTTCCCCACATCCCCCAAGCATGGCTCACTCTTGCCTTCATTCAGGGTCTTCATCTAGCAGAGTGAGTCCCCTAAGGCCTGTGCGATGGCGTCTGCCGTCGAGTCTGCCATCTGAAGTGTTGTGAGCAAGCTGTAGGAACAGTATGCCACACTGCTGTTATTGTTTTCGTTTCTGATCTCAATCAGCCATGACACACCAGACATTACAGGGCAGGTGTCCTGGTGAGTCTGAAGTTGCAGGCTGGGTTAAGTTGTGTTGTCGTGTGTATCCGAGGGTTTGTCCGAGGCCCGTGACAGGGTGTATATGAGGAAGTATAATAGGACGAGAATAAAGAATCCCACAATGATGGAGGCCAAGGCAGAAATGTAGGTGCGTTTGGAAGCAAGTTGTGCCTTCTCATATTCGTCCCGTTTCTTGTAGATTGATGTCTGAGTCTCAGGGAGAGGAGAAAAGGGAAAAGATGGTCTTGAAAGGGTCCTCAGATAGTGGCTGGAGAGATGGCTTGGTGCTTCAGAGCCACCACAGCTCTGACAGAAGTCCTGGGTTCAGCTCCCAGCACCCATGTCTGGGGCTCACAGCTACCCGTACCTCCAGCCCCAGGGGACCTAACACCTTCTTCTGGACTCCAAAGGCACGAAACATGCACAGGCA